CCATTAGGAGAAAAAGAGAGACTTTTTGTCAGCTGACCTTCTTGTCAAAACTCAAAGACTGCTCTTTTGAACTTTTGAGCATTATACTTTACAAAGATGTTTTCAAGCACTTTGAATGTGCAAAAATCTTTAGTTCTCTCCCAATGTGAAAGTACTTTTGAGCATTATACTTTACAAAGATGTTTTCAAGCACTTTGAATGTGCAAAAATCTTTAGTTCTCTCCCAATGTGAAAGTAGAGCTTTATATTTATATATGGGAGAGAGGGGGAGGGAGAGACTAATTACAAATTCTCCCTAGTTTTTTTTTTTTTTTTGAATGCTACTAGCTCTATTACATTGTAGTATCTGTTCATATACTTTCTCAACCTACTGAAACACAAAGAGCTAATAACGCCTCCATTGAGGCTCGAACTCACAACCTTCCAAATGGAAATCCAACCCGGATACCATTGGATCACATAGTCCTGGTTTAGTTATGATGAAATTGATTTGTCAAAATGAAAGATTGGAAGTCCTAATTTTCTTTTTAAAGTACTTGTAATACCAAGATTCTGTCCTAATTTTCTTTTTAAAGTACTTGTAATACCAAGATTCTTTGGTTGGACGCTGAGCGTTGGACTGCGTGGATACAGGTCTTAAATGGGGGCTTTGAGTGTATATTGTCCGATGAAACTGTAGTTATATTGAAATGATACTGTAGTTGTGTTGTAATAAAACTATAGTGTATATAAAATGAAATTGAACAACAGTTTCACATATTTGAGTGTATATTGTCGAATGAAACTGTAGTTATATCGAAATAAAATTGTAATTGTGTTGAAATGAAATTACAATGTATATAAAATGAAACTAAATATGTTATACAAACAGAGCTATTTTATGCGAAACGGCGGGAACGGTGGAAACGGGTATAATTTAGAATGGCGGGAGGGTGTCATTTCTTTTCATAGGGTATAATTTAGAATGGCGGGAACGGGTGCCGTTTCTTTTCATAGGGTATAATTTGCCGCTTGGAACTTGTTAAGTTGCACCCAAACGTGAGGATGACGTACCACTTGTCGCCGCAACGGGGTGAGTTCGACTAACGTGGGGATGACGTACCACTTGTCGCCGCAATGGGGTGAGTTCGACTCTGATTCTTCCAAACCTAGGGATGACGTGTTCAGGTCTTGGTTTCCCGCTGGGTTTCTTGGAGGACTTTGATGAGCGGTTTCTTAGAGGACTCTGATTCTTCCAAACGTGGGGATGACGAGTTTATTTAAGAACTTATAATTTATTTTAAGCTTAAAATAATAGCTTATTTTGTTCAAAAATAAACTAGTAGTTTCTAAAACTTTTTTTCATCGTTAGCTCTATTATTTTAAATAAATGACATCCTTCACCACCTCTCAATTAAAACACTTCTGGCCTTTTCTCTTTTCCTATTTAATTTTGAGAAAAAGACATTTTATTTTTAGATGACGGAACACTTGGATTGTTACAAAATGAGCCAATGCTTATTTATACTTATTCAATCTCCTCAATAGATGGTGGAGATCTATTTGATCATATGACTATGATTATATCTCTAAAATCCTCCTTAAAATTCTATACAATCATATTAGTTCTATAATGTTTTATAGAGCAAATACCAATTTTGCTCCCGCAAGTATTAGCAAAATGACGGTTTTTGTTCACATGTTTAATTCCTACCAATTTTCATCCATGACTATTATTTTAGTACCAAAAATCATCACGTCAGTCACCCATCCATTTAAGACATACCGAAATCTAAAAATTATAAGGGCATTTTCGTCTTTTCTGACATAAGATTCTAATTTGAGCAATAATAAAGGGATTTAAGCCCTAAAATCGATCACAATTCGCAGTTCTCCTCCTACCTTAATTTGTGGAGGAGAACTACGAATTGGATATATCTTATGGCTTAAATCCCTTTATTCATGCTCAAATTGGACTCTTAATTTGAAAAGGACGAAATTAAAATACCCTTAATAATTTTATTTTTCGGCATGCCTTAAACGAATGGGTGACCAACGTGATGAATTTTTACACTAAAATAATAGTCATGGATGAAAATTGGTACTAAAACAATAGTTGTGGATGAAAATTGGTAGAAATTAAACATGTGAATTAAAACTGTCATTTTGCTAATACTTGTGGGACCAAAATTGGTATTTACTCATGTTTTATAAAATTTTATAAATCTCTATACTTCAAAATGTGAAATTTTAATAGGTAAACACATCTATTTAAATTTTATAAAAATATCTTTTTTAGTCTTTTTTACCATTATTAACTTATTAAAAAGTTAATTTTACCAAACAATTAATATAATCAACTAACTTTCAGTTTTCATCACCATTTATAAATAATTTTTTCTCCAAATTTATCAATAAATCAAACCTTAAAGAACGGATTAAATTGGGCAACTCCAACCGAATTGATTAGATGGTTAGTTTGGTAACACAATTATTGTGTTCGACTCCCTATGAAAGTTAGTTTTTTTAATTTGAGCCAATTATGTTCAGGCAATTAGCCAATTTACCTTGATCCTTTTGTCTACTAGGATCAAAAGACAAATTTAATTTACCTGCTCATAATTACTTCCTTGTAATTCTTTTGTTGACTAAAATCACAAAACAAATTTTTATCCCGAAAAAACTTATTTTTAGATAGTGATTGACTACTTTCCTAAATCAATTCATAAGAATTAACCAAACATTACTCATTCATTACTAGCCTCCATGTACAAACAATGATTGGCATATCATGACTTTCTCCCATATTGAAAACCAAAAGATGGATAGAGATAGAAAGTGGGAGATAATCAATTAATTAGGATATAATAATTGTTGCCATTTTGGGTTTTTAGTGCAGAATGAACATCATTTTCAGCATCTTCTTCAAAAACCCAATCCTTCAAGCCACTCATATTTATAGGAGGTCGTAGGATCTTTCGATGGAAGCAAGGAAAGAAAAACGTAACCTTCGTAGATTTCTAGGTGAAGAAAATGGGGAAGAAAACCATGGCTGAATCTTCTTCTGCACATTCACACAAGAAAACATCCAAGAAAAAGCAGCTCAACAGCAATAATAATCTGCAGATTAAGTTGTTGAAGCCCAGAGTTTACATCACAGATTCTTGGAACTTCAAGAGCTTGGTCCAAGAACTCACCGGAAATAATGGCGGTAGCCCGGTTTCCTCTCCCCTCCGGCGCCCCATTCAAAACCCCGCGTCGTTCGAATCATCGGAGGCGAGTGCTCCGACGACATCTTTTGAAACTTATGATTCCACTGGTCCATGCATGAACCTGCAGCCTGATTTTAACGCGTTGGAATCGTGGCTTTTGGAGACGACGACGACTGCAGATATGATGCGTTACGACCATCGTCATCGGTACGATGATGTCTACGTTCCCATGATGGCTCAAGAAGAAGAAGAAGGTGTCTCTGTATATGATTACGATTTGTCTTTTTCATCCCAGGATTTCTCAGTTCTTCTTTTGGAGCTTGAACGGTAGACTTAAGGGTTTCTCAGGACTCTTGTTTTGAGGTAAATGGTAGGATGTGATGTATTTATTACTATTTTTTTTTAAAGATGTAATTGTTAAGATGTATTTATTATTATTATTATTATTATTATTTGGGTACAATAAGGTGTATTTATTATATAACTATATGTATTACCACATATCTCATCCTTCTTTCTTTATTTAATATGACATGAAAGCCTTTTAAGTCCAGCAATATGTTTCATAAAGATATTGTTTGGTAACATATATAGTTAGCTTGCTTGTTTTATCATTATTAACTGTTTGACTTGATTAAATAGTCAAATATGAGTGTTTGATTAATCAGTTTATTGTTTAAAATTCAAAAAGCTATTCAAAGCTTTTTTGATAAGCTTTTTAAGAAAATAAATTACAGCTTTAAAAGGTTATTTTGCATGTAATCAGCTATCAACTAACAACTAATTTACTAAGCATTTTTCTAAAATTAGCTAATGCTATCAGTTAGTCAAACAAACTAACTCAATCCGCTAACATCTATTAGTTAACAACTATTTACCAAACACCCCCAAAGTCTTTCTAGTACAATTTATCTTTTCTGTGTAATGCGAGTGCCGAGTAGTGGTTACGAATTTCTTGATGTTATCATTGAAAAGAAATGACATGAAAGTATTATATATGAGAGTAAATGTTGACATGCATTATGCTTTTTCATATTTATTGATTATTCCTCATTATTAAAATTAGTCAATTTGCCAATGATCTTGTATTATAGTGACATGAAGTAAATTTTCTCACCCGCATGGACAACTCAACTGGTTATAGAGGTGAAACTTTGGAAGAATGACCAGAGGGTAGTCTCTGTGGTTCATGTTCAGTTGAGTTACCATGATTTACATCATCCCAAATGCTCTGATGACACACATCAAATATAGATTACTCAAAATTACTATTTAATGCATTCAAGCAAAGTTCCATTATTATTATTATTATTATTATTATTATTATTATTATTATTATTATTATTATTATTATTATTATTATTATTTATGAGAAAATACCTAGTCATTACCATTATGGGTGTACATTGAATAAATCTCGTTTTCATGTAATAATCCACAAATCACACATGCATGAGAGACAAATTACATTAGAAAAATTTGGTGTGACGGATCCGACGAAAAGGTGTTGACAAGAATTAAACTCATGAGTTCTGATACGAAAATCATGCTCTATCTATTCAGTTGCTTATTTTTGGCTATATAAGAATACTTATTAATACTAACTTAAATGTTGTAGCAAGATCATATTACAATAAGACTCCATGGCCCAATGGATAAGGCGCTGGTCTACGAAACCAGAGATTCTGGGTTCGATCCCCAGTGGAGTCGCCAATTTTTTACTGTATTACCCTCGCCGCTGAGCCTTAAGTTCGAGCCACCAAAGGTCTCGGTTAGTGCATAGCCCCACCCGAACAGCCTTAAAACTCATAAAAATCAAGATTCAAACTCTAAATTATTTCGTATCAAATCAAAAGTCAATTTAATTGGCAGATCTAATAGATAGATGAGCAGTCCAAAAAACAATAACACAACTCATCTCACATCTATACACATTTAATTTGTATATATGTCACATATACATGTGCATATATGCATACATAAAGTGTGTACGTTCTGCATATATACATATGTGTATGTGCATAACTACATACATACTTACCAAAACCAACAAGTCCAGGTACAAAACAATTTTTTTTTTTTTTTTTTTTTGGGGGCAAATTCGCAGCCACTACACAAGAGAGGTAAACCGTAAACCGAAGAGAGGGTCGAAAACGAGATCTTGACTAAGGTTTTTGCCCAACCAATATTTTATTAGCATGGCTGCTGTTGGGGCAATACATCTGCCTTTTTCTCATTATCTGCTACTACTGGGAATGTTTCTTGATCTGTCGTAGGTTGTACTGCTTCATTGCTGCCCAAAATGGCGCCTGCTTTATTCTTTATATAGTACCATTTTTCTTGGAAAAGATAGAAGAACACAACAAGAGAAATCTGGGTGCTGAAGATTATGGTCCAAATGTTTGTGCTTCTTGATGTTCTCTTGTTGTAGGCTTGCAGGCCAGTGTAGATGTTGATTACTCCCAATAATGAGAGTGCAGTGCCAAGTAACCAGTGTGCAAAAAACCACACTCTCCTTGCCTTACTCCCCCTGTAATGTAAACAAAACCGTAATTAACTGAGCCCCGGTCTTATCTTACAGGATGCGAATACCACATGTAATGTGCGGTTTCACAATTAGTTGGAAAAATAGTCAAATAAGTCTCTAAATTTTATTTGAAAAGTCAATTAAGTGTCTAAACTTTTAAAAAGTACAACACCCTTTAACATGTTAAATTGAGTAAATGAAGCCCAAGAATTGATAAATAACCTGCTATTACAGGTTATTTTCATTAAGGCATCACATTCGGCGAAATTCCAGTGATGACCGAACCGTCGCCGGTGGCCAACTGCCAGAGAAAGCGACCAACTGCCCTCCTTCCCCGACAGTCGCATTCTCAATGGAAGGCAACCACTGGTCGCCTTCTCTAAATCCATGGAGAAGGCGATCACTGGTCGCCTTCTCTGGTAGTTGGCGACCGGCGACGGTTCGGCCGACGTCGGAATTTCGCCGGATGTGATGCCTGAACGGAAATGACCTGTAATAATAGGTCATTTACTAGTTCTTGGGCTTCATTGATTCAATTTAACATGTTAAAAGGTGTAATTGTACTTTTTAAAAGTTTAGGGACCTAATTGACTTTTCGTATAAAATTTAGGGACTTATTTGACCATTTTTCCCAATTAGTTTAAACTTTTGGTTTTGGGGGTGGGAACATGTGGAATCGAGTTCCTAGGTAGTATTGTATGTAGGATGTGTTTAATTACCTGTGTGGCCGTAGGATTCCAATTAAGGTTTGCAGCCATACGATGATATATAGGGCTAATCCTAACCGCTGGTGAGTGTTGCTAAAAGAGTTGTCGAAGTGTTTCAGTGACATTGCTGCTCCTGCTGTTGCAAGGAGGACTGCAAGTATCTGCACAATATATACATACATATTAACCATTTATCACTATAATAGTCTAATTAAAAGCGTTTTACTAATTGAAGATACTCCATTTTTCCAAAGGAATGAAATATTTTATAAATGGAAATTGGAAAATGCGTTTAGGAGAGGGTGTTGGTCAAAATTGAACTCGTGACCTTCAATACGAGAATCATGTTCTACCCGCTCTGCCAATCCTTTCAAGGTGTGCACGGGTAAACCCCACTACTATATGTGCCTATTGTGTATGTGCATTAGGCCTCAAACCATTTAGGAGAAGTCATTGTGCGACTGAGCCTAGGTGAACCACGCTATTATGTCTGTGTAATAGGTCACAAACTATGTAACAGAAGACCTTGTGCAACTCGGCCACCCTTTTTGAGGTGTACACGGGGTAAAGCCCGCTTGTGTAATAGCTCACAAACTACGCAGGTCAAGAGAAGACCTTGCACAACGGGCTTGACTGAGAGAGTGTTAGCAAGAATCGAACTCGTGCCCTTCAGATAGAAAAATCATGTTTCATACACTCAGCTTGGATACACCTTTCGGGACCGGTATATGTACATAATCTTGCTTATGTAGCATATATATATCATTTGTCTAGCATCATATGATTAAAGAAATCTTTGTACCTAACTTCACAATTATTGCTCACACCCAATGCTAATTTCAAAAAAACTAATAATTAAACTGCTGTGTTAAACAAAAGATGTTTGATTACTCCCTTTTCTTGTCCTACAAGTATCCACCACTGCAATCAATCTTGTAACTAATAAAGTTCATCAACTAATTATAGTTATCTATCAACAACCTGTGGGCTAGCTAGCTAGCTGAATTATTAGACAATGTGAATCATTAATCATTCCTCATTCACAATCATTAAAGCTTAATTAAAGGAGGTTATTTAATTTGACTTTGATATTAAAAAAATGTTTAAAATTTAAGATGATAACCTGTTGTTAACTTTCAAGCTGGTATACTGTTTTCATGCAGATTAAAATGCCAAATAAATAGGACAACTCCATCTAAGTTGATCAGATTGTTAACTTCGTAACCACAAGGTTACAAGTTCAACTCTTAGGTAGGACCAGCCTATTAATCTTCTTGATTTGAGCCGGGTCAGCTATTGATAACTTAGGTTGGTTTACTTCATTGTGCTCCTTTATTGGTTAGAGTCACGAGTCGAGATTTACTTAATGCAAACCCTCAGGTAGTGACTACCTGTTTAATTTCTTGGTTTGATCGAGTTTGTTAGCTATAGGCAACCTAGGCTCGTTTACTCATTATATAAGCCTTTCTGGCTAGAATTACAAGGCGAGATTAACACAATACACATTCTCGAACAATGATTGCAGTTTCCCTCGTCACTCAAAATGTGAAATAAATAAAACTTATTAGAAAGAAAAATGTGGAAAAAAAAAAAAAAAAAAAAACTTGCCTCTAGGACAACATGTGTATAGAACATGATCTTCACCCTTCTTCCATGTTCCTCTCTGCGAGACATTCTTATCACCAGAATGCCAAGTGGCATCAAGAAACCTAGGGAAGCCCAGAGGAGAACCCCATGAAGTTTGATCTCAAATAGCAGCTTTGGACTCACCTGCAGAAATTCAACCATGCAGAACTATAAACTCAGGACAGTAAAATAAAATTAAAAAAAAAGTTGATTTTGCAGGAGAATAATGAATAAGAAGAAGAAGAAGCTAGCTAGGGGGATTATATATACCTGATGAAGTTTGTTTTTGTTGTATGTGTGATTCCTATCTCTTTCTGCATGTCCTTGTATGAATGGAAATGGCAAAAGAAGAAGAGTGAAGAAACCAGCAGAGATGGCAGAAGACAACATTTTGAGGAAAGGTTTCATGTCTGTGATAAAAACTAAGTCTTATGTTTGATGGTTTTAATGGCTGTTCTTAGCAGAAGAAGACAAGCAATGGTGTTGGACACACAGAGAGGAAGCACTAGCAATTGTTCCACTTTTCTTTTGTGCTTTCTGCAAGCTTTCTGCAACTCCTCAATGCCAATATGCCCACACTTTTCTTTGTCTTCTTTACCTAATCTTTCTGTAAAGAACAAAAACAAAAACCATTCTTTAGGTGAATTAGTGGGATAATGCTTTATGCTATGACTTATATATATATGGCCATGGCTTTAATCAGAGAGGATTTAACTACTACTACTGTGTATTACAAAAAGTGGGAAATGGGCATTTGCTATGTTTTTCAACTCTTGGGGACCCTTTTGACAGGCTTTTTTTTTTATCTTGATGGAAAGTAAAGTGGAATTCTCAGAGCAGAGTGGATTCAGGATTGGGTTGGAGGAACATATTTTTCAAAAGAAAATCAAGTAGATTTCCCTTTTCTTGGTACCAATTCTAAGTATTTCTCAGTGTCACACTACTTATTTAGGGGAGTTTTGATTTTTTTCTTTTTGTTACTTTATTCACAAAAATTGAACTCGAGAAGTTACTAAAAAGAACTAAAGTTTTACTAGACCATGAGGCAATGGTAGCATAGTTGCATATATCTAGTTCGTAACATAAACTATTAGATAATAGGAAGAGTTAATTATCGATTTGGTCCATCGACTATGAAGATTTCACTAATCTGGTCCTTGACTTTTAAAATTTTTCAATTTAGTCCCTGTCTATATATTTTTATTCTGAAATGGTCTAACAGATAGACATCCATTAACTCGGGATCAAATTGGTAATTTCGCTATAGTCAAGGGACCATTTCAGTAATTAACTTTCAGAGAAAATGGTGCATGTGATCACCAAAATTGTCCCTCGACTATAGCGAAATTATCAATTTGGTCCCGAGTTAACGGATGTCTAACGGTTAGGACCGTTTCAGGTTTTTTTTTTTTTTTTTTTTTTTTTTTTTTTTTTTTTTTTTTTTTTTTTAAATAACCGTTCGGGGACTAAATTGAAAAATTTTGAAAGTCGAGGACCATATTGGTGAAATCTTCATAGTCGAGGGATCAAATCAGTAATTAACTCATAATAGGAATATAGATTGAAACTTGAGGATAAAACTAGGTAAAGAGTAATTGAGTGGGTCCTGTTTGGTAAAATGGCTGTTAGCCGTTAGCTGATTGTGTTAATTAGATGATATAAATAGTTGATAACATTAGCTGATTGTAGAAAAGTGTTTGTTAAATTAGCTGTTAGTTGATAGCTGTTTGGTATAATTTTTTTTCTCAAAAAGCTAATTGAAAAAGTTGCTTGGAGTAGCTTTTTGAATTTTAACCTTTTAGAGTTGCAAAAAGCTAATTAACCAAACATTATTTATATTGATATTTTAACTAAATCAAACAATTAATAGTGGTTAAATATGTCAAAATTGGCCTATAGGCCAATTTTTTACCAAAGAGGGCCATTATATATATTCTTGAGTTGATATACGTCCTGCTTTTACACATGCATCTATTCATTCTTCAGTTTGGATTAAATTTAATTTGCCCCTCCTAAGATCAAACAGAAAAAAAAAAAAAAAAAATTATGATCTGATTAGGATAATGATTTGGATTATTTAAGAAACTGATGATGATATGTCTACTTAGGATCTGTTTTCTAATGATGACCTGTACATAATCACACTTATGTGTCTAGCTTCCTGTTACATGGAAATGATACACTTAGTACAAATATGATGAACATATACAGGCAAAAAGATGAAGACAGGAGGAGCATGACACTGCAACCAACTTTTGGGTGTGGACTATATATCTGTGATTGCTCAAAAGCTATATATATATATATATATATATATATATATATATATATATATATATATATATATATATATATATATATATATATATATATATATATATATATATATATATATATATATCCCTCTGGTCCCTCCATTAACAGGGTAGTGCAATGAGTGTTTGTGTATCATCATTGTAAATTTGGCCTACCTGCTTTGCTTCTTGGCTTATGGGGCATAATATAATGCATGGACCATTGGATATACAAAGTCAAGAATATAATCTGTATTGATTTTGATATATTCATGAAGAATAAGAAAAATAGGATTTTGGGTTCCAAATGCTCTTTTTGCATGTGCGATCAGGGCGACGATACAGGACCCCCAAATTTTGGAGGCCCAAATTTTTAAAAAAATATTTTATAAATAATTCATTATTTTTATACGATAATAATTATTATTTTTAGAATCAATAGATTAGTTTTAATTGTAATTATTATTTTCGAGTCTCGTTGACTCAAAAATATGCCTTTATTTTTAATGGAACGGCGAAATGAGGCTCACTTGGTAAGGTGTGGATACCAACACAATATGGAAAAAAAAAAAAAAAAGAGAAGACATTCTTTAATTTAATTATATTATATGTAATACATGCATGAAGGCTATCTTTGTCGACAGTATGTATAATTAAGGTTTTTATAGTGTACTTTTTCTTTTAACATGTCACATGCAATCCCAACATTTGAGTCCACCTTCATATTATGAGCTGAGACCAAACTTCAACAAATCTTTCCACTCCAAATTTGATTTACACCATATGATTAAAATGGATCACATCATCTCATTTTGTGATTATTTTAATTCAAAGTTGGTAGAGCAAACTAAAGCTAGTAAACCTTGGAAATGATTGCACAAATCTAACAGCAAATGAATTAGAGGCTAATTACTTTTATTTTTTCTTTTGAACGTGGAGGAAAATCTCACTTACTATCTGAGCGTGTGCACTATGTAAACCCCGTAAATTATACAGGAGACGAATCACATTAAGAAAATCTTGTACGACAGATTTAATTGAGATAGTGTTTGCAAGAATTAAACTAGAAACGTTTGTATATAAAAATTATGCGCCATTCACTCAGTCACTCCTTTTTGAGCAGAAACTAATTACTTGTTAAGAAAAATGATATGGCTAAGAAATATTGTTGGTTAAAGCTATGATTGATGCTCTCTAGCTTTCATTATTGTTCTCTAAAGTTGCTTGATATTTTTACTTTTTTTTTTAATGCACTCAAACAAAATGGTCCCAAACAATAATGACCAGCCCATGTTCAGCCCCGCCCATAAATAAATTGCGCTAGCCATGCTCATTTTAGCGACGGATAAAATTCGTCGCTAACACTTTAGCGACAGATTTCACCTGTTTAGTGACGAAAATGGTCGTCGCTATTTTCATTTTTTTAATTGGTTCGCTCAAATTAAAAATGTCAACAGATTAATTTTGTAGTTATCAATTCAACAATCTGAACAACTTAAATGGGTGACCTTTGGATCCAAAATATTACACTATGTTTTCCGGGCAATAAGCATGAAATTATTATTTTTACTTTCTTTAGCTTTTAATAACAATTATTGCAGATAGATTGATGTTAATTAATTGATTAGTGAGGATTTGTGTTGCCGTGAGAATCGGTGTTGGTCCATTTTATTTACACTCTGTGGGCTTATGCTGGAATTGGGATGGGCAAGGAGACAAAGGAAGCTGTAGATGCTGGAACACTCAACATTGCCGTTATATATACACTACAAAAAATCAGATCTACCTAGAGGTAAATTAATAAAATAGTATATAAGTATTTAATTTGTAAGTAAATTCGTCACTATTTTAATTTATTTTTATACCCAATAATTATCAATTTATTTCTAATTGCACTTACTTCTCTACCACTTACATATCATTATCAACACTAAGAGTGTAAACAAGTCGAACCGAACTTAAATAGTCAAATCCCAAAACTTATTGACTCGAAAAATCTAAGCTTGGCATGAGCTTCACTCGACTCAAGTTCGAGCTATTTCAGCTTGGTTTGAATACGCAAACTAATAATAATAATTGTTGAGATTAATAAGAACAAGAAAAATAATAATATCAGTAAAGATAACTCAACAACAGCGCCAACACAACAGCGCCCCTGCAAAGTCACACTAAACTCGTGTGCCTTGCCCAATGCTCCACTAACCAGCAATTACCACTGGTCAGCAACACGCACCACGCAGCATCAAACGTTTCCCCGTGCATGTTCACGAACTGCTTCGTCCCAAGCAATCCGTAACACCAAGCCATATTAGCCCAGCTCATACCAGCCGTGACTCATGACAAGCCCGACTCATACCAGGTCCATATCCCCTCCTGGGTATCCACGCTGCCCCTAACACAACAGCGCCCCTCACCACCTTCTCATCTAGCATCTAGAAACCCCAACAAGTCCAAACAATGTTCGAACTTGTTACTAGTTACCGCTAGAACATCACCTTCACTATAATAAGAGTCATCAGCTTGAACCATGTTCATAGCTTCCTGCTTCTTCAACTCCTTCCAATCAGCCTCTTCCAGATTTGCTGGATTTTCTGCCCTCAAGGTTTTCAGAAGGCCCTGATATGCCAACACATCCTTTACCCTAGACCGCCATAACCCAAAATTCCCTATACCATCAAACTTTGATACCTTGAATTTTATACTTGAACGGACCATCTCAACAGTGCTTTGATACCAATTTGTTGAGATTAACAAGAACAAGAAAAATAATAATGGCTAAAAAGGTAAAGAAGACAAGATTTACGTGGTTCGGCAATGTGCCTACATCCACGGGGGTGAAAGTATTCTCTTATTATTCATAGTGATGGTGATAGTGGTGACACTCAACCCTTTAGGGATACAACCAATATATTTATAGGCATCCAATCCCTATACAATAGGTCTACCCGTTTCACTCCTACTCCTAGTATGAGACAAACACTTATTCCTAATCCATATATGAGACAAACTCAACAACAACAACAACAACAACAATAATAATAATAATAATAATAATAATAATAATAATAATAATAATAATGCATCCAATACCAGAACAAATTGTATGAAGCCGCGGTTGGGAAACATCATAGATGCGTTTCAAAGTGCTTTTATCCCGAGCAGATTGCTCACTAATAATATCCTGGTAGCGGCTGAGGTCGGACATTATTTGAGGCAGAAGCAGGGGGAAAGTGGGCTGGGCGGGTTTGAAATTGGATATGGCGAAGCATACCATAGGATGGAGTAAGCCTTTTTGGAGAGTATGCTTCGGATGTTGGGGTTTGGATAAGGGTGGGTGAGGTTGGCCTGGTGATGTTGTGTGTCTCAACGATTAAGTATAATGTGATGGTAAATGGGGCCTTAGTGGAGCAAGTTATTACCATAAGGGGGCTGGGACGAGGGGATCATTTTTCCTTGTATCTATTCATAATGCATGTGTGTGGAGGGCCTGTCGCTCCTGTTTAGAGAGGTTGAGAGGGATGGGATTATACATGGGTGAGGGTGGCCCGGGGAGCTCCTCTGGTGTCACACATCTTTTTTGTTTATGGCAACTTGCTCTTTTTTAAGGCAAATTAGTGAGAGGCGGGCGTAATCAAGGAATATCTGAGGAAGTATGAGCGAGTGTTAGGGCATGTAATTAATTTTCATAAGTCTAGTATTGTCTATAATTCAAACACGAGGGAGCGTGTTAGGAAGCGGGTTGATGGTATATTCAATATGCGGTGGGTGGAGGACTTTGGTTGGTATCTTGGGCTTCCTTTATTTGTGGGTAGGAAAATGAGGATTGTGTTTCCAACTTGAGTAGAAGGTGAGTGGGCATGACAGTGGTCTTTGTTGTCGTGTGCGGGGAGGGAGATCTTATTGATGTGTGTGGCTTAGGCACTACCTATATTTACCATTGATAGGGAATATATACCTCGGTTTTGACTCCCATGTACGGTCGTGTTCTCGTTTTGTAGTCGGGTTGGGATCAAACGATTCGAGTCCCGATCCATGGGTCAAAGTCAAACTCGAGCCCTTCATTTTGGTGGTTCCTTCCTCTTTCCTCCCCTACACTCTCTCTCTCTCTCTCTCTAGACTAGAACTCTCTCTACTCTCTCTAAACATACAAGAACATCAATAAATAAGAGATCCCCTTGAGCTACTTTCTCTTGTCTACTGCATCTTTAAATTAGAAAATTCAGTAATTTAATTTGAACATATTTTCTTCTTAATTTTCAAAAAGTAATTTAAAACTTTTGAATAAGTTAAAGATAGATAGAAAATAAAAATAAATTAAAAACAAAAACAAAAATTCTATACCTAAACATGGCCTAAAAGTCTTTGGTAAACTTCATAGTAATTGGTATAATGATGGCCACCAGCTAATTTGAAAAACGTGTGAAACATTATTCTTTTATGAAGTTCACTGCGATGTTGAGTATATTGTTTAAATTTAATAAGCATTACATATATCTTTAAATAATAATAATTTTTTGTTAGTTTCTTATATGTTAGTCGGATAATTAACTTAGTAATATATTAATATCACAAGCTTCCAAATTCGACTTTATTTTTTAGAGTTGTCTATTCGTTTTCTTGATTTGAGCCGATCAACTATGAACCATCTAAGATAATTTACTTCCTTGTGATCTTGTGATCATTAGGGCCACAAAGCGAGTTTTACTTAAAAAGCATTCTCGAATAGTGGATAAATTTCACCACAAGGAGGTAAATTGACAAAAAAAAATTTAAAATTTTTATTGTGTCAAAAACATCAGTACTAATCGACACCACAATCCCTATCAAATATATATTACTTATATAAAATGATATGGAGAATGATATAGTGTAGAAAGAATGTAATCTTCTTGGCCGCCTACGGAGTAGGTCATGTTCGGATGTTCCTGACGAATTTCCAAGCACTTCGGAGTGAATATTCCTATGCATAGATGAGTCGTTATGTTCCAATACTAAATCTCGTAATTGGTCGGTTAATCTAGGTCTCAACTCTCAAGGATACATCATGGTAACTCAGCTGAACACAGAGATTAGACTTTTGCTTACTGGGCACAAAGAACACCCTCCTCACCTTGAGAGGTTGCTCCCACAGTGTGGCTTGTAAGACTCGATATCTAATCATTCTTCCTAAACTTCACCGTTATAACAAAAAACGCCCATTTAGGCAAGGGTCATAAACATTTCATGTTAAGAGCATGGTTACAGTAGGCGCTAGGTGCTACTTAGGCAGTAGAGTCAGGGGTTAGGGGCGATCCGTACTATAAATTTCCTTCATGACATTCGTAATCCTTGTCTAAGAGTCGTTATTGAATTGAAAACTTGTTATTGCTTCGTTCTCAATTGAAGACCATAACAAATGACACATAAGTCATTCAATTCAAATTTAAAATTAGAGTAGCAAACAAATCCATTGGAATCATGATTAAATAGGCGAAAATGAATGGTCGTCAAAGATGTACAGCATTGACATCATGAATGATGCATGTCGCCTATGTATTCATGCGTTGACGTCAAGTCCGGGCTTCATGTAGCCTTATCTAAATCAAACACGTCTCTCACTTTGGCAGGGTTAGTATATACAGATTATAGAGTATATTACTCGCACGGGTTTAGCTCAATAGTTTAGTGGGCGGTATTTGGGATAAGATTACAGAGTATATTATAATATTTCAAAGACCGTAAAATAAATCACAATAAAAAATCACGTGCAACTAGTTCAATCGTAAAGATATTAAAAAGGATTGAACTTTAATTTTAAACTTTAGATACAAAAATCATGTTTAATTCATTCAATTATCTCTTTCAAAACTGTATTGATTTTTGGATTTTAATATAGGATGATAATACATAAATCCAAGTTGTATTTATTTATTATTTTCAATATAATTATATTTTCCACAGTCCTACAAAGCTACTATAAATTCCCGGATATCATATTTCTTATACTCACACTAAACCATAATAACCCACAAAAGAAGCTAAGCTATCAACAATCATGGCCGGGGTACGTAATACCATATATCATCACTCTTCTTCTTATTCTTATTCTTATTCTTTTTGAATCTTGATATCAAACTGATGAGTTTATTTATTTATTTTTGTGATTAGCAAAAGGCAGTGATTAAACTTGAGGTGAATGGGAAGAGGCCAGCTTCAATGGCAAAGAAGATGGGAGTGGGTATGTTGAAGGCGATTCTGCCATTCGAATCCGTATCAGAATGCTTTAACCACACTGCTCCCCAGAATAAAAGCAAAGCCATGCAGATCGCAGTGGGATTCCATGGTACTTCACATCACTATCCATCACTAATTATCTCGTGTACACCTTCCGATAGTGATTACGAGTTTTTAACACTGTTGTAAAAATTGACCTAGGCGGCCCTTAGGTACCCGCCAAGGCGCTTGACGCCCCTAGGCCGTTCCGCTTTCACTATTAGGCGCCCAAAAATCAGCCAGGTGCCTAGGCGGCCGGCTAGCGGCGAAATCGGTCAAAATCGGCCTAGGCGGCCGAGTCATCGGTCGATTTCTTCCAATTTTGACAGATTTCGTCAGATGTCCTCTGATCCAGCTGTCCGTAGACTGGTTTGATACTTTAAAATGATTTCATATATGAATATTTTTTATTTTTTAATATTATTTTAATGTTATGTCTTATAAATTTATCATTATTTTATTTATTTGGATGTGTTATTTGATTGAATGTTGAAAATAACCTCATTAAAATTGTCAAATTGTAAGTCTTCCACTATTTTTTTTTTGCGCCCGCCTAGATTTCGCCTAGGCGCTAGGCGCTGTCCTGGTCCTCGATTAGCACCTAACCTCTACTGCAACAATGATTTTTATAGATTATCTGAGATCGAGCACTAATTAACTAACATTCGTCTTTAATTTTACACAATTGTAAATGTATATATAAAAGATTGGATGGGTTGTGGGTGCAGGGGTGAACTCGGCCGGGCTGGAAGGGGAAGGAAAGGATGAGCTAGTTGTGAAGGGAGTATTCGATGCGGTGGAGCTGGTGAAGTTGCTGAGGGAAAAGGTGGGCGGAGCCACCATTAAGAGCGTCGGTCCGGAAGAGGAGAAGAAGAAAGAAGAACCCAAAAAGGAAGAACCCAAGAAAGGAGATGATAAGAAGCCGCCGGAAAATGCCGCCGTCGTGCATCCTTGGCCTTCTCAACCATTAGTATTATACGAGATTCCTGAATATACCCCCAGATGCTTCCCTTTCTGATTATTTATATATATATATATATATATATATATATATATATATATATATATATATATATATAGTGAAATTTTGAGTTTTATTTTTCATTGTTGAACATGTTGTACTTTATATTTTGGCAAAAGTTTTCAATAAATATTACTCTCCACTTTTATGTGTCTGGTCAAACTAATGAGATTCTTTATTGGTATATTTGCATACCCATGCCTGAACACACACACATACACATATACATACATACACACACACACACACACACACATATATATATATATATAGAACTATAAAAGTAGAATAGCCTAGGGAGAACCCCGTGTGGAGTAATCGCATTCGTTTGTTTAAGATAACTAAATATTAAAAAATTAAAAAAAATGTGATAATATTTTCGTAACTATGACGGTCTATTTGGAAAGGCTTGATAGTGCATGTATGGATAACAATGTATTCACGTGTGTGTATTATTAGTTATTCATATATGCACTATTAAACAAATTCAAATGTAATTATAGATCAGAAATACAATTATGTTTTTTTTTTTTTAAATAATAATAATAATTTCACTTATCATCCTAGATGGACAGTGTGATTAGTCTATATATTCTCATGTGACTATTAGTTCTTATTTAAACCCTAATTATATGCATAGGCTGAAATTAATTTATTCAACAAGGCTCTTATTTTTTCAGAATCAGTCCTCTCCTGGCCTATAACATATGTCTCTCGCTTTATTTATACGGTGAATGAATTTTTGTTTAATTAGTATGTACAACACAACACTCATGATCACGTACGCTAATCATATATACTATACATAATAGAAAGTCAAGTCTTATATTAAATGATATATATGGAACAAAATATGAAAGGTTACATCCCAATCATGAAAATCTCACCGGCCGCTCCGGTCTTAGAAAATATGAGGCAAGACATAATGTAGACTGTAGAAAGATTAGTCTTCTCCGCCGGCTAGGGAGTCAATCAATCACAATCTTATTTGTGATGAATTACCATGCATTTGGAGTGAATTTTCTTTTGTGTAAATTAGTCGTTACAACGACTGTACTCCACCACTCAATCTTCTTCTAATTGATTTTTGAGTAGCATTGTTTTGCTTTGTTTTTTGTTCAACAAATAATGTTATTTTCCCTCTAATGTTGAACTCCTGACGTGACAATAAAATTCCTGAGGTGACTGAGTAATTAGAACATGCATGACTCTTGTACAGTCGTACCAGAAGCAGGGACAGATCCACAACAGGCAGGGACGGAGCCAGAAATTCGGTTGAGGGGGGGGGGGGGGGGGGGGGGGGGCGAAACAGTACAGACGGATTCAGAAAATTAAATTTTTCCAGAAAAGGCGAAACATTAAAACAAAAGAGATAATTTAAAAATAAATAAATAAACTACCTAAGAAATATAATTGTAAATATTGTTGGATATGGATGAAAAATAAAACACATCGAAACTTTATAAAAATATTCATAACAAAATATGAAACATAATTAATAAAATAATTTGAATAAAAAACACATTATAAATTACACATCTTATTATAGAGAGTGTGTGTGTGTAATATTAAAAAAACTATTAAAAAAGAATTGTAAAACTATGTTGACACTAAGATTGGAACCCACAACCTCATTATTACCAAAGATGTGCTCTACCACCTACTCCAACTCACTTCTTATTAACATTTTACAGTTTTTTTATACTAATACTAAAACATGTACTATATATACATATATACATACAAGTACTATATAGGGGTGGGGGTAGGGTGGGGTGGGGCAGCCACCCCCCCTCTCCCTCCGTCCCTGACAACGGGGGCAGTGGGGGCCGCTGCCCCCTTCCCCTACCCATCTCCTCTATATATATTGTATGGATATGTCACTTATATATACAGATTAAACGTGTATAAATATTAAATATACAAATACTTAATTAAAGGATGCATTAGGTTAGTTATTAGTAAGGTTTGTGTTAGTGTGTCAAATGTCTTGGGTTTGAAACTTAGGGTATTAATTTTCTAAATTTTATTTTTTGGCCTTTTTATTAATATTGAGATTATAATTGTGATTTATGAGATTAATTTTTAATTCTAATTGGATTCTTTATATGTAACATTGGGATTTTCTTTTAAATATTAATAGTGAGATGAGTGATTTATAATGTAATTTCCATTTGAACTTTGTTTTTGTTTTGAATATTTTTATCACGTTTTAATGTATTTTTAATCCCTACTCCTCAATAATACTTATCGCTCGACCTCTAAGTGTTTCATTTTATTTTTCTGTCGCCCCCACTGAATAAAATTTCTGAATCCCCCTGACCAGAAGTTAATAAGTTTGATTGTTATCAATATCCTCTCGAGGCATAACACACAATCTCTTTAGTATATCGCTCTAAAAGTCTTTGATGAATTGCACATTTTGGATTTTATAATCATCAAGTTGGGTGAATTTAATTTTATTTAATTTAAATATGAACATATTAATTATTGATGGAAATTAAACAGGAATTGTGAATTGAAGACGGTTTGATTGGCACGTTGAGACTTGAGATGAATCAAGTCTATCATCTAGAAATTACTAATAGTGACAAAGCTAGTATCGGTAATAGTTGACTAGTATTCGTACGAGCCTAACATAATAGACATTTAGAAAATAAATCACTTATTTATTAATGAGTAAATATCCAAAATGGTCCATCGACTATAGCTAAATTCACAAATTGGTCTTCAATTTTCAATTTCAACCAATTAAGTCCTTAACTTTGTAATTTTAACACAATTTGGTCCTCTGTCTATTTGACCGTTTGTTGACTGTGATTTTTGAGGATATATATATAATTTCATGGTCCATCATCGGTTTTTTAAGGTTCCGGTTGTATTTCCAGACCGCACTGTTACATTCGAATCCACTGCCGAAAGCAATCTACCAAATTCGGTCGCCTTTCTTCATCCTCCCTTTGGATTCAATGTAGTTGAGTTCGTACCAGAGCGAAGATGACGACGTGTTTCCGAACCGGTGCAACGTCATCCTGAAGGCCTCCACGTGCTCCGACGAAGCTGAAGGTTCTTCTGGAGATCGTTGATCACAGTCAACATATGGTCAAATAGATGGAGGACCAAATCGTGTCAAAATTACAAAGTTAAGGACTTAATTGGTTAAAATTGAAAATTAAGAACTAATTTATGAATTTAGCTATAATCAAGGGATCATTTTGGGTATTTACTCTTTATTAATTTCTCTTTTCGTTTTTCTCCACAAAGCTAAGTTTGCAAGTAACGGGATTAGTCAACTCATGATACTACCACAATAATAAAGATAGAAAAAGGAGAATTGACTTGTAAGCACTTATGATTTAAGAAACAATTGTCACTATCTATTCCTTACCCATCTCGTTAAAAAAACATTTCGGGGTGTTTAGTAAATAATTGTTAGTTGATAACGGATAGTTGTTAGCTAATTGAGTTAATTGATTTGATTAATTAATTGTAGAAAAATGTTTGGTAAATTAGTTGTTAACTGATAGTAGATTACATGCAAAATAACTTTCTCAAAAAGTTATTTTGAACAATTTTTTTAATTTTAACATTTTAGAACAATAAGCTATTACAAAAAGTCAATTAATCAAACACTCATATTAATTGTTTAACTAAGTCAAACAGCTAATAAATTAAAATTAACTGATAAGCTAACTATTTACCATACATAGCATTCAAAAACTTACTCATAACCTTTTTGATTGGCCTATCGCCCTATCTTAGTTTACCCTGTTTTTAGATTTTTTTGTTATATATCCATATTTCTTATTACAATACAATTAACTAGGTTAAATATAATAACTTTTATATTTTACTTTTTTTGTACTTTAACAAATGTATTATAATTACATACTCCGTATAAAAAATGGAATTAAACATCCCAATCATCAAATACTTTTCTTAAATGCACCGTACCATCTAGTCTAACTATTGGAAGGTAGATACCAACCAGGACCACATATAGCCGTGTGAACGACATTGTTTTTCTCTTAGCACTCGAATATTTTACATTAATATTTTGAATTAAACAACAGGAACAAAAAAATCTTATTTAAAAGTAACGAATTACTTTATTCCAAGATCTGGTGATCAATAATCTCATTAAATAATAAGTGATTCATAGTCAAATATATAATTCAGACATTATTCTGAGAGAAGTTTTCAACAAGTATAGTATATATATAACAATGTTTATTATATTCAAATTTTAAATTCTTTTAAGTACGACCAAAAAAAGTCAACAACTATATATATATATATATATATATATATATAGATGTGTATTCAGACGAGGACAAGTATATTATAGAGGACTGTGAGGACAGATGTAGTGTGTGCCATTAGCAGGTATTTCGTGTGCATGACCGAATGTAGTCGTGTGCCACAGTTTGTATGTCGCGCGCTAGATTTGTTAATTTATAGAGCATGGGTTCGAAACCTAATGTTTACATTTATTCTTGTGTGCCATTATGTATTAAGTTGTGTGCCTGGTATAAATTTGTTGTGTGCCCATTATTTGTCCTCACAGTCCTCTATATATTGTTGTCCTCATTTGAATTCAACCCTATATATATATATATATATATATATAGTGATATAATCGTTTGATATCTAAGCGCTAAACTCAAACGAAGACTCATTCCATCCGAATCCTAATTAAATTGGAGAAAATGAAGCCAGGGTCGAGAATTCAAAGATGGACAACATTATTGAGATGATGTATGATGACGCATGTGGTCTATGTATACATGTGTTGACGTTAAGCCTTGGATTGATTAGTCTTATAAATCAAATTATAAAATTACGGCAAATTATTGTGTGGACCAGGTGTATAGATCATAACAGAAAGTATATTTTTAATATACTAAATGTACATTATTTGTGTATTGAATGTACATTATATAATATAATCTATATTCAGTACATGAATAATGTATTTTTTCTGAATACAATTTACATTTTTAATATATTAAAAATATATTATGTGTACTGAATGTACATTATTTGAAAGTATGGTTCAAACAGTTGTGTACGTGAACCATGGTCCAAACAACAATGATGGTAGAATTACTATACTATACCTTGCTCATAACAACAAATATTGCTTTGTCTTGGGGCAAATTATACGGTGGACCGCGGTCCATAATGCATTGTGGTCCAGACATCAAATATACACTGCAGTTTTATTTCAACACAACTACAGTATCATTTTGACATAAATACAGTTTCGCTAAACAATATACACTCAAATATGAGAAATTGTTATTCAGTTTCATTTTGTATACACTGCAATTTTATTTCAACACAACTACAATTTCATTTCAATTCAATTACAGTTTCATTTAATAATATAAAAATAAGACAGTGTCATTTTAGATACACTATAACGTCTGTCGTTTTGGACCATGGTCCACAGTATAATTGATGTTGTCTTGGCCTGGATGGTCGACTTAACATGGACTCATTGCATTATGATTTTTAACGTATAACGACAATAATACATAAAATTAAATAATCCCATTTGTATTATTTTATTTTATTTATTTATTTATATTATTGTCCATATCTCAGAATCATCTACAGTTCTGCACCCACTAAACTACTATAAATTCCCAGGTCTCATATTTCTTTTATCCCATTAAACCATAACCCACACTTATTAGCTTAAGCTACAATCATGGCCGAGGTATATAATTATCATCACTCTTTTTGTTCTTCCATAGAATTTTTTTTTTATTATTAATTTCATTTCACTTTATATTATATGAAGCTGAATTTATTTATTTTTGTGTGTTGGATCAGCTAAAAGTGGTGATTAAGCTTGAGGTGAATGGGGAGAGGCCAGCTTCATTAGCAAAGAGGATGGGAGTGGGTATGTTGAAGGCGATGCTGCCATTCGAATGCGTATCAAAACCCTTTAAGCACAGTGCTCCCGAAAATAAAAGCAAAGCCATGCAGATTGCAGTAGGATTCCATGGTGAGTGTTGAGTATATAATATATAGAGTTAATACCTCTGAGGTCCTCTGAGTATAGTAGTTTTGCCACGTTCAGCCCTGAACTTTTAAATTGACCATTTGTGGTCTTTCGACTTTCAAATTTAACCATTCGTGGTCCATGTTAACCACCCATGGTCCTTCAAGTTTCGAAATTTAACCAGTAGTGGTCCTCATGAAAGGATCATAGATGGTTAAAATTTAATAGTTGAAGGACCATGTGTGGTTAACTTGGACCACGAATGGTTAAGTTTGAAAGTCGAAGGACCACATATGGTCAATTTGAAAGTTTAGGACTAAACATGGCAAAACCACTATACTCGGGGACCTTAGATGGTATTAACTCATAATATATATAAATATATACTTGCAATCCAACTATCAGCTTAAGTTTTTAGTTGAGATAGAATACATTCTTTAATTTGGTATCAGAGCCATGCTAAATTAAAGGTCATGGGTTCGAATTTCCGCATTCCATCAAAAGTAATCACATCCAACTATCAGCTAAGATTTTTAGTTGAGATATCAAACCAGCTCGACCATCACACCAACAATCCAATAAACTTGGTTGGAGTTGCCCAACACATTATACGAAAGTGCGTTATGAGTGAAATATATCTCGTAACCTTAGCCAACAAAGTAGTTTATCCTAGACTCAAACCAAGAAGATCGACTAATAGGTGGCTCCCACCAAAAGTCAAACTCATAATGTTGTTGTTACCAAACCAGCAACTCAATTAACTCGACTGGGTTGCCCTATTCCTAAAAGTTGTGGGTGCGTGCAGATGTGAATTCGGCGGCACTGGAAGGGGACGGAAAGGATGAGCTGGTTGTGAAAGGAAGAATCGATCCGGTGGAGCTGGTGACGGTGCTGAGGGACAAGGTAGGCGGCGCTCATATCAAGAGCGTCGGGCCGGCAGATGATAAGAAAGAGAAAGAGAAGAAAGAGAAAGAGGAGAAAGAGAAGAAAGAGAAAGAGGAGAAAGAGAAGAAAGAGAAGGAGGAAAAGGAAATGATGGAGAAGATGTTCAGTTCTGCATCGGTGTATCCTTGGCCACATCAGCCATTGATATACGAGGTTCCTGATTACAACCCTCGCGGCTGCTTCTCTTTCTGATGATCAATCAATCCATATATATATATATATATATATATATATATATATATATATATATATATATATATATATATACATAGTTGCATTCACATGCATGCAGCATATATGCATGCATGCATGCATGTCTTACATATAGTCTGTTAGCTTAGCTCCCATATATCCTCAAACTTTATATATATATAGTTTTAATCCAGCAGTTTGGGATACTTAATTGGTAATCGAATTGCTAATGCAACTATTGTGTGTATGCTCGTGAGCGTATGTAATATATATACAATTATGTTCTCCTTTTATGTATTTTTTTTTTCATGTTGGTGCAACCACGGATCTACATTGCATGATGCACCAATGACGAAAAGAGGTATTAATTAGTAGTTTACTAGTGAACATTTATTATTGAGCTAGCTTTAATTTTGTGGTGAAATCAAAACATTTGGTTGAGTTTACTATCATTATTAATGCTTGTTGAACAATATATATAATTAATATTCATACATAATTGATGACTCCAGGTGAGAATTACTTAATGATCTTCTCGATTTGCCTTGTTCAATTATTGACAATTTATATTAATTTATTTATTTATAATTCTTTACCACACCGGTTAAGATTATAAAAAGAGTTTTATTTAGAGTATACTTTCAGATAATAATTACAAATTTTTTTGTAAATTACAAATTTTTTTTGTAAATTAAAATATCGTGTTCATCGTAATATGTACGCATACATATATGACAGAAGACTGATCAAAGGAATTTTTTTTGAACAAATCAAAGGAAATTCTTGTCTGGAACTCGCAACGTCGCAACCTTAGAAGGCTCTGGGGAAAGTTTCGATAAGGATCGGAGTTGAGTATTGAACGGACGGAGTTAGGTTGGCCATTAGTTAGTATTATGTTGGGTCCTACCTAATTAAATCTGATGTGACTTATGTTTTAGCCTCTTTCCTACTAACGATGTTGATTTTTATTTTATTTTTTTATTTTTGGTAAATAATTATTTAAGATTTTTCTTTAAATCAAAAAGTCTAGGTTTGCATTTTACAGTTTTTTGTTAAAAATAATTATTTGTTAGATGTTAATTTTCAAGAAAATTGATATTATTATTATTGTTGTTGTTGTTGTTATTATGGTGTGAGCAACCTCTTTCATTGAAGAGTTAAATAATCAATTTAGATTGCACAAAAATAAGAAGTTAAAAATATAAAATGTGGTCGATTGGATAAAACATAATTTTTATATTAAAATACCACAAGTTAACTCTTACAAATTGAACATTCAATTTTTACAAATACTTCCTCGGTTAAGTCATAAGAATCATATTTTATATTGATATACTATTCTATACAATATTTCATGTGTGTCCAAAGAATGAAATCTAGCATATGCTTATCCAATAAATAATTAATTAGCTCTGAAATGAGTAGATGAGTGTGTGAAGTACGACTCTCATACTTGAATGCGACAATTTTGACAAGTACGATTTTCCTTGATCCTTGTTCTATCGAACTCATCATACATGATTTTCTTGCTGTTTTTCCTGTATGGTTTACTGAGTGCATACCTTACAGTGTTGAAAATTAATTAATTGATCTTATTTATTTATTATTTTTCAGTCAATGCATTTTATTGGATTATTTGGGATAGTATTAAATTGGTAATGTAGTTTTTTTGCTAGGGAAATTTTTTTCCCATTTATTTTAATCTTTTTTTTTTAATTAAAGAAATTTATATTAGAGGTGGATTTAATTAATTTGTTTTCAAATAGTAAGTCTTGTGAAGTCAACCGTGGGAGACACGTTTAGTTGACAACATCAAAGAACGACCCGGCGGAGACTTGAGCTTCTTCAAAGTCTGCCATGGGCCAGTAGACTAGTCCAACCTTATCAATTAAGTTTTTTTTTTTAAATTTTTTTTTAATTTAATACTCCGTAATTTATAATAAAACAATTAAGTTACAATGAACAGGCATCTACTACATACATCATTGAAAAGGATGTTATAGCCCATGATATGATGTTTACAACAGGCAAGGAGGATGATAGGTTCGACATGTCACATGTCTCAGGATATTGACAACTTTTTTTTTTTTTTCAGCTTACTAGTGATCAAGAATTTGTTTAGTCATTATTCATCGAGTCCTTTTTTCAAACAAATATTGATTAGTTACAATAAATACAATGTGAAAATGGGAATTGAGAATTGCTTACTTGTGAATTAAATTGGATACCTATAAACTTTGCAATCATCTTTAAGAACCCTAACTCTCAATATAATGCACATGCTCAAGAAATTGGTGGATGAGGCAAACTGATCGAGGAATGTATTTGAACTTATCTGGTCTCAGGGACAGAGCTAAGAATGGATGGTGCGGGGGCCAACGGCGATTGAAGTACTAAATCAAATACATTGATATCCATTTAACATATTTTAAAATAATCATTACATTGCAAATTTACTAGAATTTATAAAGAATCGATGATTATTTCTTGAAAACAACCATCTTCGCAACATAACATAATATCAATGAATCACACTTGTGTTACACCATCCCAAACGGGTCGGGCCGAGTCGGGTTTGGTCAACTGCCCCAATGCTGGATTCACCCATTGTTGTTGCAAGTAACGAATTGATTAAACATAGATTTTGGAATTAATATTTGTCTGCATAATATATACAATGTGTTGTAATGAATAATAGCCTGACATGTTTCAAATTTTCTGTGATTGTAATTTGTTTGAGGCCAAAATAATTGAGCAAATTAAGGAGAAAATTTAGAAAATATAAATAGTCTTTCATTGTCTTCAAAAAAAATAAAGAGTCTTTCATTGTTGTTGTAGTGTTCTTGATTACCCGTTGGTAACACTAAGGTCGCCCAAAAACTTGGTCAAGTATAAATTGTCAAGCGTGTTCACAAAATTTTAACCACAAGTAGTGAGTCAAAATTTAAAATAAAATAAAATTCGACCATAGTTGCTGAAAATTATTTTTCAAAAATCAGGCAAAACTACATAAAAATTAACATAATGTTAAATCTGTTTACTAGCATTCTCGCCATTTAACCCCTCAATTATAATACTAACTAGTAACTATCAAACCACTGGTCATAACTTCCAAGACGACCAAAATACTTGCCATGTGCTGTGACTGATTATCTGGCTAAGAAACATAGTATATGAGTTTTCACTGTCTCATATTTAGTGTCATCAAGTCAACTGATTCATACTCAGCTCACGTCCAAAGTCGCATATAATTAATGTAAACATAAATGTAAGAAAACATCATCACATGACTATAGACCGTTCTCTTTCTAACAAGCTTACTTAATGCATTTATATAAGATTGTAATTTAATACCATATGAAACATTCTTATAAGTGAATAACAAGCTAGTTTTTAGAAAAATGAAAAGTGATTCGTTATAATTTTTCGATTATTGTATGTGAACATGACATAGCACTGTTGAAAAATATGAGAATTTTTTAATATCCAAAAGTATGGAGGGATTTGATCTAATATGGCAATTCTAATCACTTTGGGGATTTAAATTATTTCATGTTATTATTAACTACCTGTCGAAAGCGATCGGTAACATCATTGACTACCAACAAAGTTTGGCAAAAAACTTGGTCTAGGGCAAGTTGTTATTCTTGTTCATGAAGTCCCGACCCAAATGCCTAGCTAAGGAACATAATGCACAACTTATGGGGTAACCCCAATCAAGTTGGCTGGATAATTGGCTTATTGGTAACTACAAAGTTTCACATTCAACTCTCTTGCGGAAGCTGTCTATTGAACTTATTGATTTTCTGGTCAATGTAGACTGGTTTACCTTCTTGTGATTCTTGTCAGCTAGGGTGATATGATAAGGCAAACTTCACCCGAAGTGCACCTTTTGATAGCGACAATATGCTTTCCCGTAAATCGAAACATACTACACAATTATCCAGTTTTCCATATTTAGTGATATGCATGTACCTATAGTGCGTAGATGAAATCGTCTTAATTGGTTTATTGATGGAGGAAACATATAATCACACCAAAAATACATAGTGGCATGTGATCAAGTCAACCAATTCATATTTGTGTCTGAAGTTCACTTGGTAATCATAAGATTTTATGTTTAACTGCTCACATGAGCTATCTAGCTACTAGCCTTATTGGTTTGAGTTAGTTCATTATTAAAAAAACTTAAACGGGTTTATCTCTTTGTGGTTTTTTGTAAATTAGGGTCACAATGCATATATACTTCATCCAAAGCGCGTAAATCGAAACATAGTACACAACTATTCATTGTTCCATATTTAGTGAGATTGTACTTATAGGGTTTAGATGAAATTATCCGGATTGATTCATCAAGGAAATTTATAACACATCAAAGGTCAACCAATTCATAAATGCGTCCGAAGTCGAATACAATTAATGTAGACAAAAATGTATGAAAATTTTTCCAACACTACAGGCAACATCATCATACTATATGTCTATATCCACACATCTGATCTCTTTCTAAAAAGTAAAAACCTTAATCTCCAGAGTCAATTGCAGAAATTAAAGTTAAGAAAACTTCTGATCTACAAACTTGCATTGTGCCCGCTTATGCTACTTATAATACAGAGAATCATTTTTAGTTATGTAGTTTTGCTATTTTTGATCCTTAATTTAAAATCAATTATTTGTTACAGGCATCAATTTTTTTAGTTATGTAGTTTTCATGAACAAGTTTCCAATCATTATTGTATAGACCATGGTCCACACAATTGTGTGGGCCATAAATAAAAAAATACATTATTTTTAATATACTAAGGGTACATTATTTATGTACATAGGGTACATTTTTTGAAAGTATATTTTTAATACACTAACGATACATTATTTTATATAATGTATTTTCAGTATAAAAATAACGTACTTTTAATATATTAAAAATATATCTGATATTCATTGTCCACACAATTGTATGCACCATGGTCCACGTAATACTTTGCCACAAGTTTCATTTATGGAGCGTTATGCCATGGAACCGTGTTCACCATTCATGGTGAACACGGTTCCAACGGTGTTAGTACACCGTTATCTTTTTTTTTTTTTTTCTTAATTAATTGCGTGTCTTTTCTTCTTCATTTTCACATTTTGCGGTTTCACTTTAATTTGAGATGAACAATGATTTCGGACATTCATAAATTATGAATTCATGCCTGCACATTCACTTTGGAACCATGCCTACACATTCCCGTCCGAAATCACGGACATTCATAAATTATGAATCCATGCCTGCACATTCACTTTGGAACCATGCCTACACATTCACTTTGGAACCATGAGATTATGAATTTTCTGTTATAAGATTATGAATTTTCAGTTATGAGATTATGAATTTTCTGTTATAAGATTATGAATTTTCAGTTATGAGATTATGAATTTTCATAAAATTCATAATCTCATAACAGAAAATTCATAATTTGATCAACGCGCGCCATTAACTCCACATCCGCGAAATTTTTTTTTTTTTTGCCTAAAAACGACGTCGTTTAGCCTTGTGTTCACCATTCTCGGTGAACACGTTTCCAGGACATAATTTGCCTTCATTTATGGTTCCCCTCAAATGGCAGAATATTGGCCTTAGCTTATAAGGGCCCCAATTAATGGATAATCACTATGGGCCTGAACTAAAAGTACATAAAAGTACAATTTTATTCAAAACAATACCTAGAGTTCAATAAATTATTAAAAGAAAACAATACAAAAATGCAAAACCTTCCCTTGCTGGCTTGTTGTGTTCGCAAATCTGAGAAGGCAACTTTTTTTTTTTTTTTTTTTCACTGGAAAATTTACTTTTTGATCGGATATTTGAATTTGTGTATTTTTTTTGGTCAGAAATTTTTATCTCCATAGCTTTAACAAGAATTTTTTTAAAAAAATTGATAAAATAACTTTTTTTTTTTTTGAATGCTACTAGCTCTATTACATTGTAGTATCTGTTCATATACTTTCTCAACACAAAGAGCTAATAATGCCTCCACCGAGGCTCGAACTTACAACCTTCCAAATGGAAGTCCAACCCGGGTACCATTGGACCACATAGTCCTAGTAATATATTTTAAACTCTTTTCGCATTCATATCTCTAATAAAATTCGAACTCCCATACTGCTGCTATCTTCAATTGTGATCTTCTTCATAGGCCATTTTTCCTTGATTTAATAAGGTAATAGGATGCCGTGACCTTCTTGTTCTCCATAACTCAAACGTAGGCGGTAGTTTGTCTTTCAATTCCAAACTAGTTTGGTACTTAATGCCTAATTGATATGTACTTTTAAGTTTTAATCCATCCACCCACCTTTGAAAAATCAGGATTATTAAATTCTGACCATGAAATTGAATACAATTATTTTCAACATTAGTACCACGAATATTAAAACATTTGATCATCAATTTATTTTTGTCATCTTTAATGTATGAGTTTTATTTATTTATTTTACCACATTTAGTCCTTCAGATCAAATCACCGGTATAACATAGTTGAATTGTGTCACATTTTCAGTTCACATTTAATCTTCCCCTTCCCTCTCGTTATGCGGTTGCTAGTAAATAAAAACCTATATATGCAACTATTTTGAGTTATGATCCGTGACAATAACTTATACTTTTGGTTCACGAAATGTAAATTATACGCAGACAAAGAGATTGCACTACTAGTCTTTATGCTTACATCCTCCATTCTAAGTTCTAAAATTCATAGTTCCTTAACAAATATGTTAACAACCCAAGAAATTTGAAGACATGGTCGGTTTGACTTCACTGCGGCTAACCATTTTATTTTTGGCCCCGTGACTTTAATTTGGTTATATATCCGACTAAATGCACCATCCAACGGCTTTTCGATCGATTATGTTATAGTATGTTACACAATATCTTTCTAGTTTAGTATATATATTTTGTGTAATTTGTAGATTATTACATATAAGCAAAATGTATTCAATTCATATCTCTGAATAATAACAACTAACGAGTTTCCATCTATTATTAAAACAAAAACAAATGAATAAATGCACCATAGATGAATAATAATTAATAATGGATAATATTGATGCAAAATTGCAAATTAATATTGAATGATTAAAGGAAATAAATGAGCTTGGTATGAAAGTAAATAACTAATAATTGTGTACTAAGTGGCATATAAGTTAGTGACAATAATATTTTATTTTTTTGGTCACTGGTCGAGACAGTCAGACAGAGAGGAGTGACAATGATATACTTCACCTAAATAATAACCCATAAGTGATAAGTTATACGGAGTACTTTTTAAAGATTATATCAAAAACTAAATTAAAAACACCATTATATTATTCTTGTTAACCGAATGATTAAATCTGGAATTAACTTTTAATTCCATTTAGCAATTTCAATGTCTAGATACAGTTATTGGCCATGAAGCAGTCAGAGACACTTTCCATGTCATTGCCATGAAGATGACCGGAACTTTGGGTCCCATAAGTTTTCGTGTGTGTACAAATCTTTATGACGCTGCGGTGGCAGTGCAATTATTGCGGCTAGGATAGCCGGAGGACGATGCTTCTTTGTTCTATCCATCTTCTTGAAGCCTTTTCACAAACCACACTACGACCAGGCCAACGCCATTAATTAATCGTCTATAAATACTTCTAAAATCCTTCATTCTTTAGCAAACACCACACCACATCTCTCTCTCTCTCTCTCTCTCTCTCTCTCTCTCTCTCTGTGTAACATCATCGTACGCAAAACCCAGAAAATGAAGGTACGTAATAATGCGAGAAAACAAACCAATTAAGTTAAATTAGCATGATTAGTGATCTTGGCAGCTTTAATTTGATAGATGTTTGATGGGTTTCGTTTTGTGTTCAATTTTTCTGCAGCAAAAGGTGGTCATTAAGCTTTCTATGAGCAATCATAAGTCTCGTGCCAAAGCCTTGAAGATCGCCGTCGGTCAGCAAGGTAAGAACTAACTAAGAACGTTTTAAGGATGAAAATATGAAACAATCTAGCTTGATTCCGACAGCAATATAATTGTGTTTTTTTAATGTTCAGGAGTGGAGTCTGTAGCGATAAAGGGGCAGGAAAATAACCAGTTAGAGGTGGTGGGACAGGTGGACGCGGTGGTGCTGGCCACTCTGCTAAGGAAGTGCTTGGGCAAGGCGGAGCTGGTGAGCGTTGGGGCCGCCGGCGCCGGCGACAAAAATGCAAACAAGGCCGAGACTCCGGCGGCCCAAGTGCAACATGGGTATATCTACCCTTCTTATTCCCAGTACGCGGTGGCGTATGACCCCTCGGCGTACCACTACATGTATTAATAAACCATTAGCTATTAGGACTTAGGAGTTAGGAGTATTACCCCTACTATTAGATGTAGATTTGTTCTGTAATGCAACGCAGTAATAAATGGAATAATGGAGATTATATACAATTAAAGAAGAAAAGATGATTAGGTAAGGCTTTGATTGCATACTATTTCCGACGGTATTTACCAAATTCATACTCCACCTACTTAATTATTCTTTTTCCAACAATTATTTACATTCATCACAAGTTGACCACTCTAAGAAGTGGAACTTGCTCCATCCACTTCACTATTCTTTTCATGACAATTATTTGCATTGGTTATACGGTGACTATACACACTAAGAGTCAAACTTGTTCTATCCGATCCACTTGACTATTTTTTCGGTACAATATAATTATTTGCATTGACAACAAGGTAATCGCTCTCACTGGAAGTCCAATTAAACTTATAACCTTGTGATTATCAAGTCAACAACCTAATCAACTTGGTTGGAATTTTCTCTAACTAGCCGCCAAGGCAGCTTGCATTCTACATATGTTCCTAGCTATATAGGGATGGCATTTTTTATTCGCCCTGCTAATATATATCCACCTCGCATAGATTGAATTTTTGTAGGTGATAGTGGATAGTATGTCAAGGTGGGTCTTAACCAATTTATTTCACAGTGTATATATATATATATATATATATATATATATATATATATATATATATATATATTTATATTTCTTGAGATTTCTTAATTTATCCTTAATTATATATATATGATTATTCAGAGTTTTCAAAAAAATATATATATGATTATTCGGTAACTTTCCCGTTAAATATTATTTCTCAGTTTTCGTTAATTCACCATTAACATTGCTTCAAAAGAAAAGCACACAAATCCTTATAAAATTCGAATATTAAGTTCTTAATAGAAGAGTTAATTCCAGCAATGATCCTCCGACTATGTTGATTTTCCAAAATTAGTCCCTGACTTTTAATTTGGACACTTTACGTCCCTTGACTTTCAATTTCTTTCCAATTGAGGTCCTTTCGTCACATTACGGTAAAGTGGACTTTAAATAAAAGGGTAAAGTAGTCATTTCATCTGCCTAATGTATAATTCTTCGTATTTCTTCCTTGTATACGCGACTTCGGACATCAGATTCACTTAATTGCTTAATCCCTAATGAAATTTTGTTCTTCAAGTCGATTTAGGGCTTAAGTAATTAAGTGAATCTGATGTCCAAAGTCGCGCATACAAAGGAGAAATACGAAGAATTATACATTAGGCAGATGAAGTGACTACTTTACCCTTTCATTTAAAGTCCAATTTACCGTAATCTGACGAAAGGACCTCAATTGGAAAGAAATTGAAAGTCAAGGGACGTAAAGTGTCCAAATTAAAAGTTGAGGACAAATTTTGAAAAATCAATATAGTCAGAGGACCATTGCTGGAATTAACCCTTAATAGAACTATAACCCACAAATCTTTATAAAATTATAACTCACAATTAGTCTAATTCTAATATTAAAATCTAATATTAAAGTCTTAAAAGAACTCTAACCCACAAATCCTTATAGAATTATAACTACATGTACCATTATTCTATATATTAAGTCATTGCCCACTAATTAGAAGTACAGACCTAAATTATTATGCAACACAATATCAACGGAGAATTCTGTGTTAAGACTTAGTCTCATCAGGCACTAGGAATTCTGCAGGTATGTTTGTACATCTCCTATCATGTTTTGTATAAACAAATTGCTGATGCAATATGCCGAATTGCTGGTACCCCCTCAAACTCAACCTTCTACTAGAATATCCTCAAACTATATTAGTATATATTTAATATCTTATACCCTAATCTTTATTTACTCTCAAATATAATATTGCATTGATATACTTTTTAAAATACTTATTTAAAAATAAACATTGAGTATTATTCTAATCGCGCAATTAAAATAACATATATCATGACTCATGAGTCCATCTTACTACATGGACTCTAATCCTCGGTAAAGCATTGTGGATTGATTCTGAAAGACTCTGGATCTGAATTTGGGCTTGGACTACCAAATGAAAGAAATTGGGTTTAGCCCATTAAATAAAGTATTTTTCGGGGTTTACTTTTTTTTTTTTTGGTTAATTTTTTATGCGGAGTTCAACGTGTATCCAACAGAACACGCCAGTAATTTCGTTGTCGTATATTCGAAAGCCTCGCTGGAAGCTCTGCAAATTTGCATTCTTCTCTTCTCTTTCGCTTCCTTTCCGTTTTCTTCCTGTTCAAAAAAAAAAAAAGATAGAGAGAGAATCTCTCTGGCCTGATCTCTCTCACACGTCTTCACAATCATTATTGTTTTCATCATTATTATTTTGAATTCAAGCGCAGATACAAATTTTCATTGATTCATCGCAATTCAGATCTCCTTCGTCGCTAAGCCGGAGCTAAACGATGTCGTACGCCTACCTCTTCAAGTACATCATCATCGGCGACACCGGTAACTTTCCTCCGTTTATATGCTATTTTTCGTTTTACGCTGTCTGCTTTGACTCAGGAATTTACAAATTTACTTCTGAATTGACGGTTTTCTGCATGGATCGAATGTTGAATTTACTATGAGTGAATTTTGCTTATAATTTTGTTAGTTGGATTCATTTAGTGTTTATAGATCTCTGGCCTTGTGCTACGTTAACCGGAGAAATTATTTCATAGCTGGCTAAAAGTTCTGTTAAAACGGGTATGGATCCGATTAGTATGCTGTAATAGAAGCTAAAACTTGACATTGGTATTTTCCTTAACTCAATAATACATACGTAAAAATTTACATGTTCTCAATGAGCCATATCTTAAAACTGTTCATAGGTATATTCGGAGTGATGCTATTTTTGTATATGCATTGACCTCTATGCCAGAAATGTATGCAAATGTTCAAAGAAATATAATTCACGAAATGAATATTTTGTTGCACAGGAGTTGGGAAATCATGCCTTCTTTTGCAATTTACTGACAAACGTTTTCAACCTGTGCATGATTTGACCATTGGTGTCGAATTTGGTGCTAGAATGATTACAATTGACAACAAGCCAATTAAACTACAGATTTGGGACACGGTTAGTTTCTTCCTTTTCTAGTAAATGTGACATTTGTAAGTTGTGACAGCTTCTTCCTTATGGTTCAGGGCTAATGCCATATGTTGGTCACAAGGAATCTAATACTGAGTACATTCTTTCAGCAAATGTTTTGAATTCTACCATTGTTCTTATCTAAATACTTTTACCAATTTTGAATATTCCGTTGCAAATGAGTTGATTCTGATTGTACCCATCACCTGTTGCTTCAGGCTGGTCAAGAATCATTTAGATCTATTACAAGGTCTTACTACAGAGGTGCTGCTGGTGCATTACTAGTTTATGATATCACAAGGTATAGATACTGTCTGGATTATCTGAGCTTTTCCTGTTATTCTTGAATCTGTTTAGCTTTTTAGTGACATTTTATTTTATATAGTAAACTTTTAAGAAAGGTCTGACCTCTAATCAGTAATTAACCTTTGGTATATTCATCTTAATAATTATTTTTTGGGAAATTGTTACTGTACTAGTGATGAGTATTGATTTTGTTTCTCATCTTTCTTAAATATCTTTAGGCGGGAAACTTTTAACCACCTTGCTAGTTGGTTGGAAGATGCAAGGCAGCATGCAAATGCAAACATGACAGTAATGTTGATAGGGAACAAGTGTGATCTTGCTCACAGAAGAGCTGTTAGCACAGAGGAAGGCGAGCAGTTTGCCAAGGAAAACGGTTTAATATTTATGGAGGCCTCTGCTAAAACAGCACAGAATGTGGAGGAGGTGAATCTTCGCTTAACCACTGATGCCTCTTGACTTGTGTCAGGAATTTTCTTACGTTTCTTAAAAGATTGAAAGTTGGATGCTTATGCTTTTTGTTTTTCTTTTTTTTTTTTTGGTAGGCATTTATCAGAACCGCCTCAACAATATATAAGAAAATACAGGAGGGAGCTTTTGACATATCCAATGAGGTAATCTTATCTTTAATATGTGCATATCTCAAACTTAATATTTATTTATATATGCATAGTTTATTAGTGATCACATATGTATTATATCTTTTTAAAAATTTTATTTATTAAGTAATGAAGTACTTCGGCTTTGATTCAATATGCAAGTGACTAACTTGTACTGATACTTTGGTGGCTGCATTGTGTTTGGGTCTTGCCAAATCTATTGAGGGAGGGGAAGAAAGTAGAAGTGTCAGGGATTGGTGTGTGGTGGGGTTTTGAAAGTTTCCCTTTTTTCCTTTCTTAGTTTTCTCGTCATGTTTTTCATTAACATGTGTCAGGGATTGGTAACCAATAGAAATCTCATATTTAACCTATATGTATGTTCTAGTATCATAATTAAGCTCTTACTTGAACGAATGTTCCATTTTAGGTCATTTTTAATGTCATCATTTCAAGTAAACAAAACTCTGGCTCTAATGCTGCGACTTTGGTTTCTTTATTATGCAGTCTTATGGGATAAAGGTTGGTTATGGTGGCATCCCGGGTCCATCACTCGGAAGAGATGGAGCTCCTGCTCCAGGAGGGGGTTGCTGCAGCTGAAAATGGGACGTAATTTCTTTTTAGTAAATGCTTGTTTCGTTGTTAATTCGTGACTAATTGTTCTTTGTTTTTCAATTGTTCAAAAGCTTACATGTATAAGTGGTGTATAATGTAATACAACAGCCAGCATTATGGATGTGAATAGATTGCTTCAAATTAGCACATGCCTTACACTTAAATCCAGAATCCTGCTTATTTCGAGAATTACTACCATTCTCAATAAATAAAATAAATCACGAGTTTTGTTGAACGGTCTACAAGTTTTTCACAGTTGTATGAATAATGACGAGCACATGATAGTTAGAGAACTTAGGAGCATTGAATCTGGTGCTTGGGCTTATCGATTAATGGCATGATGCAGTGCATTCACTGCCCGGGCATTTGGTTTATGGTCTGCTGTTCACGTGGGGTGCCCATTTTGTGCCGTTTTCGTCATCCACTTAATGAACCAACATCCTCTGAGGAGGACCTGCAAATTAGGGACATATGATATTATGATTGGAGGGAGAATGGGTGGTGAAAATTTCAGCCGTTAATTCTAAACAGTAAACAGTATGGCCGTCTATGAATGATAGATGGGCAAAACAATATGGATCGTCTACTAGTATTTGTCTCTTTCCCTATCCTGCTTGTCTACAGCACAATACTAAAGACCAAGACTTTCACTTTAAGAGTTTTTTTTGAGTAACGAGGGAAATCTACATGTATTATCCGAGTGTGTACCAGGTAAATCTGATCTTGTAATCTTAATTGACAAAAAATTACGAGAAAATTAGTTTAGGTTGTTCATAACTCATACTTATTGGCTCAAACCAAAAAGGCTAACAAGATATCTCGGTTACCAAATTTACATCTTGACTAATTTGTAAGGTTTGCATGGCTGGAAACAGGATACACCAACTTTGCTTGTGATGAATGATGATGATATCATATCATAAACAAACCCTCCAAAAAGTCACTTGCAAGTTGGCATTTTGTGACAGAACCACCATGCTTAATTGCTCATAATCAGCTAAATTATTATTATTATTACTTTTACTTCATAAAATACTTCTCCCCAATCATATAGGCTTTGTTTGGTAACATAGTTAACTTATCAGTCAATTTTGACTTATTTAATCATTATTAGCGGTTTGATTTGTTAAAAAAATATTTGATTAATTAATTTTTTGTAACAATTTAGCGTTGCACTTCAAAAAATTATTGAAAGTATTTTTTTCGTTAAGCTTTTGAGAAGTCATTTTTACATATAATCAGCTATCAGCTAACAACTAATTTACCAAACATTTTTCTATAATCAGTTAATGTTGTCAACTAGTCAAACTCACTAAACACCCCATAATTTGGCCAATAAAACAATATAGTATATATAATATAAAGATATATAACTAACGGTGCAAAGGAGCCCAATAGATATTTTCAGTAATCACAAGTCACATGTGATCATATCATGTGTATTTTTCATATAAAATAAAACAAGTATTCCCCACCCTGATTTGTTGCTCTAAACTTTCAAATATACCCTTGGTCACGCATATGCTAGCCGCTGGTTTGGAAGGGCAAACCATAAATGTCGACAAATTTTTGGGCAATTAGGTAATAGGTGTCACCTATTTGAACACTTACTATAAAAGGACGCCTAGTTTCTGTCCAAATTTCAACAGAATCACTCGCTTCCACACACTCCAAAGTCCGCAGAGAGCTCAGAGTGGTAGCGCGGCGTTAAAATGGCAGCAGCGACGATCGGAGGTCTGTCGTCTCCGTATACCGGCGTTGGCGAGAGAATCGACGGTGATGTTAGCAAGGCGTCGTTCCGGAGGTTGTCGTTCGCGTCGTCTCATCTCTCTGGCGATAAGCTGACGCCATTGCCTCCTCGACGGCTTCGTTCCGGCGGTAAATCCGCGGAGGTTCGGACTGCTCCGTTCATCGTTTCTCCGAAGGCTGTTTCCGATTCGCAGAATTCGCAGACTTGTCTAGATCCTGATGCTAGCCGAGTAAGCACTCAATCGTTTCATATAAGCGTGTTTACTGCCAAAGTTATTTATATAAATATGTCTTTTGCATGTATGTATTAATGTATACACGCAGTACATCGATGTCGATATTAATGCCTATTATCATAATCGCAAACAAAAATTTGATGTGTGTTTAATGAATTTTTACCTTGATAGATATTCTTTTCAAATCATTATGAAATTAAAATACTGATTCTCATTAGAAAGTCTGAATATTATATGAATCTCTATGTGATGTGTGTTGTTCATTGCTTTAGTTTGAAGTTTTTTTACAGCTCGTTTCCAGATCCAACATCCTCTCCATCTTCCTGCATTTATTACTATTATATTCAGAAATAACTCATAGAGGTATTTTATTGTGCGTATTTCTATATTTAAACAAATTTATAGAGATACCTCATTTGCAAGCAGCTAGTTTTTTTTTTTTTTTTTAGCAGAGCATTTTTGTCAGGTGCAATTAGTATCTCGTGATATTTCAATTGCTTCTTTTCTGCATTTTTTTGGTTCAACTATGTGCTCTGTGTATGTTATGGTTTATGTCTTATGAGTCTCTAAATTATATTTCTCTCAACACTTGATTTTTGTGTTTAATATAATGTTAAAGATGGTATAACCAATTCTGATTCCAATAGAAATAAGAAAATAGTAAAGTTGAATGATTTGTATGTTCACCAATAAAGCTGACTGATTTGTTTGTTCTAGACAAAAAGACATTTGATTATTCTTTTCTTTGGCAAAGCAATGTTTAAGCTATTTTTACATGGGAACAAACTGCAAGCATTTGATTATACTGTTTTGAATAAAAAGAAGCAAACACTCATCTTTCCCTCCTGACTTTAAGCACTAAAGAGGCATTAACTTCACATGAATAAGAATTTTAATGGCTTTTGTCCATTTAATGTATCACAGAGTGTCTTGGGAATTATCCTCGGAGGTGGTGCTGGGACCAGACTCTATCCTCTCACAAAGAAGCGTGCAAAGCCAGCTGTTCCACTTGGAGCAAATTATCGTCTAATTGATATCCCTGTGAGCAATTGCTTGAACAGTAACATATCCAAGATCTATGTTCTTACACAATTTAACTCTGCATCACTTAATCGTCACCTCTCACGGGCATATGCAAGTAACATGGGTGGTTACAAAAATGAAGGCTTCGTGGAAGTTCTTGCTGCCCAGCAAAGTCCTGAGAACCCCAATTGGTTCCAGGTATGCACTTCAATCATCATCATACCAATGTAATTGCTGTCAATAGGAATGATTCAGCTGCATTATTATTATTCATACATAATTTGTATAGTAGTTCTTTTCTTGTTTTAATTGTATAGTTTGAGGATTATATTAATGACCACCAATTGTTGAAACCTAAATGTAAAATTTTCACGACTCAGGAATATTACTGGAGTTAAATGTGTTATGATAAATAATCTATGGAAGTGTTACTACTGAGTCCATAATGCCATAAAGTGACATGCTATTCTATTATCTGGCAGGGTACTGCTGATGCAGTGAGACAATATCTATGGCTTTTTGAGGAGCACAATGTTCTTGAATTCCTGGTTCTCGCCGGAGATCACCTATACCGAATGGATTATGAGAGGTTCATTCAAGCCCACAGAGAAACAGATGCAGATATTACAGTTGCTGCACTGCCAATGGATGAGAAACGTGCCACTGCCTTTGGTCTCATGAAGATTGATGAAGAAGGAAGGATTATTGAATTTGCAGAGAAACCAAAAGGAGAACAGTTGAAAGCTATGAAGGTAAAAAAAATTAATAAAGGCGCATTCATACATTTAGGTAATGGATTTTGAGTTCTAATATGTTAAATAGATAAAGAAATTTCTGTTTCTCTCCTTTCAGGTTGATACCACTATTTTAGGTCTTGATGATAAGAGAGCTAAAGAGAGGCCTTATATTGCAAGTATGGGAATATATGTTGTAAGTAAAAATGTGATGGTTAACCTACTTCGACAAAAGTTCCCTGGAGCAAATGATTTTGGAAGTGAAGTTATTCCTGGTGCAACATCCCTTGGATTGAGAGTATGTGCCTTCCCTCCTAAAATTCTTTTTGCCATCCGTATTCTAATATGAGACTTCTCAAAATACACTGCAACATACCTTTATACAAGTTTTAGTGCAATAGGCAAATGAAATTTGCCCATGAATGTCAGCGCATCAATCAGTAACTCTATGTGAAGTCTCACTGTTTATCTGTACAGGTGCAAGCTTATTTGTTTGATGGCTACTGGGAAGATATTGGTACAATTGAAGCCTTCTATAATGCCAATTTGGGAATCACAAAGAAGCCTTTACCAGATTTCAGGTAAGTATTGTAGACTGATTTCTTGACTGTGCTGCTTTAATTTAAAGCACTGACAGTCTTCAATGCCTTCTTGAAGCTTCTATGACCGATCAGCTCCCATTTACACTCAACCTCGATATTTACCTCCTTCTAAAATGCTTGATGCTGATGTCACAGACAGCGTTATTGGTGAAGGTTGTGTAATCAAGGTAAGTGAATTGAACTTTGGTTGTAAATCCTTACATATTATAATTTGTTTGGTGCAACCTTATACTGATCTAGTTTGCCCACCAGGAAAAGAAAGAACCATCATAATTAGTGTGATGCTTCTACTTTTTCCAAGAGGCTTAAAACTATTTTGATCTGAGAGTTCACTTGTTTTTATTGGATTCTGTTTCAGTACATCATGACTAACCTTACTCTACACAGTACTATGGAACCTATATGGTCTGTCTTCACAAGTGTGTTGTTGGTGCAGAACTGTAAAATTCACCATTCTGTGGTTGGACTTAGATCATGCATATCGGAGGGAGCAATAATAGAAGATACATTATTGATGGGAGCAGATTACTATGAGGTAATCATCCATGTAGATAGTTGGGCTAAATTTGGCTTTTGGGCAAGATGTGATATTTTATTAGTTCATAATCTAATGGATATCATACTCTTTGTTGCTATGCTTCTTTCTTCCTTTAGCAATTTATAGCCATTTTCACATCCTTTGGTTTCTTGCTTCAGACGGATGCTGACAGGAGGCTTCTGGCTGCAAAGGGAAGTGTTCCAATTGGAATTGGCAGGAATTCACACATCAAAAGAGCAATCATTGACAAGAATGCTCGTATTGGGAATGATGTGAAGGTTCGATATCAAATAGTTTTCTGCTCTTCCCCTCTTTTTGCTTTTAAAAACTTGGCCATTAATCTAGTGAACAAGTTTATGCTCAATCTTCCTGTGCACGTGTAACATAAAGAAGCATCTAACTTGACTCTTGATTGTTTCAGATCATTAACAGTGAAAATATTCAAGAAGCAGCTAGGGAAACTGAAGGATATTTCATTAAAAGTGGGATCGTCACAATCATCAAGGATGCATTGATTCCCAGTGGAATCATCATCTAGAAGTACTTAAAAAGAAGTATTTGAAAATCATATGTACATGTAGTGTAGCCGTTAGAGAGACTAATGGTGCATCCTGTTAAACCTTCATTTTAGTTCTAAATTTTTAAATAATAAAGCATCATCGTCATCTCTATGACGCTTTTTTCCCAGCCTAAGGCATTTAATTGGGGGATTTGGGGCTAGGATTGAGATGATAGGCAAATACAGGTATAAACTCTTGAACCAACTTCCCTCAAAGCTATTTGATGCCTCTTTTGTTTTGCTACCAGCCGGCATTACAAAAGATTTCCTCCTTCACATATACGAATAACGTGGAAGATATAGCCCACTCAGACAAAGAGTCCTAAGCCACAAACAGAGCAGCATTTAGTACAATAAATCTATACCTTCGTTTCCAGTTGCCTATATGTTTGTGTGTGTATCTATATGTATAAATTTAGATACATACAAATACAATTATTTTATTTTTTTGGAGTACTACTAACTCTGTTAGAATGTAGTAGTATCTATTCATAGTTACTTTCTCAACCTATTGAGGCACAAAGAATCAATACTACCCCCCACCCCTGGGGTTCAAACCCATGACCTTCCATTTGGAAGAGCCACTTCATACAACTAGACCACAAGGTCATTGGCATACACATGCACGCATACATATATGTTTGGGGTGTAATGTACCGTGTCTAATAAACAAAAGTTGACTAAAAAAAAGGATCATAAGTAACCCAAGGAAACAAATTTAGGAAAGTGAAATATAGGAGACAAACCAAAATGTTTTTCATTTTAAGAGTAGCATAGTTTCAAAATGACTTCCTGAATTTTATCTGAAGCACAAGGTTCTCCATTTGTCCTTGAGATCAGCTGGCATACGGGTTGGATGAAACACATGACGACCAAAGTCTAAGATCTTCCTCCAAGGAATATTTTTGTTAGCCGAAATTGAGAATTTATGAACACCTTCCTGTAGCCCACAATACATAACCACATTAGAAGCTGATATACCAAGTTCTTCCATATTAACATAAAGTTTATTGTAAAAACTTTTCTGATCTCTTTTCCATGGTTTAGAATTTCCTTTTGGAAGCAGGCAGGGGGTGGGGTACCAGTTCTTATTATGAAAAATAAGATAGAGAAAAAGTTGCAGTGGAAATTTGGAATATTTGCCTGAAGCATTTCTTCCTCTTCAGTGCTCCACATTAATTTTTGACGTCTTCCATTTGGAAATTGATTTCTCCTGCAGCAAGGAAATAAGTTCACGTCAGAAGCAATGCAGTAAAGAGAACATAGAAAAGGAGTATAACAATATTTAATATATGTAAGAATAATTATATGCACATAAAAGTAAGTTATGTTCTCTAGTAGCTGAACACTCACTGCAATGGTGAATACTCTTCAGCTTGTTTCGGCTTGTCAGGGGAACTAGTCTCCCCAGTTAGCCCTGAAAATTTCTTTGGTGAGAAAGCTGTCCGGCTTGACCTTTTAGAATCAGAATTTAAAGGTTGACCCTCAATTTCATTTGATTCTTTATTGCGGTTGCGTCGTCCCAAAACAGCCTCAAATTCTCTAGATGTTGAAGCACCAGTCTCATCCCTTCTCTTGGCTTTCATATGCAACTGGGATTCAGGTTCTTTATTCGCGAAGGGCACTGCAGATTCACGTGTTTTTCCCTGCATCTGCTCAGCTTCTGCACCACCACCAGCTTCATTTTCCTTCCCCCCAGCTTTCATTTGTACAGCTTTCTTCATCTTCTTTTCTCCTTCAGGTATTTCTCTCGGGTGGCAATCTTCAACATCTCTATCTAGTAGTTGGTCATCAACCTCTGGTTCATTTTCTGCAAGCATTTGTTTTGCTTTTCCCCTAATTTTCTTTTTTCTATCAGGTTTATTTACCATATTGTAGTTGCTTCGTCTCAAAAGTGCCTCAAATTCTCTAGATATTGAAGCACCAGTTTCAACCCTTCTCTTGGCTTTCAAATGCAACTGGGGTTCAGGTTCTTCATTCATGAAGGATGCTGCAGATTCATGTGCTTTTCCCTGCATCTGGTCAGCTTTTGCACCACCACCATTTTCATTTTCCTTCCTGCCAGCTTGCATTTGTGCAGCTTTCTTCTTGATGTTCTCTTCTCTTTCAGGTATTTCTCTCAGGTGGCCATCTCCTTGGCAATCTTCAACATCTCTATCCAGTCGTTGGTCATCAATCTCTGGTTCATTTTCTGCAAGCATTTGATTTGCTTTTTTCCTAATTTTCTTTCCTCTATCAGGTGTCTCAGTCAGGTGGTCATCTTTTTTATGATCTTCAACACCTCTCTTTAGTTGAAGGTCATCAACCTCTGTTTCATTTTCTGCTCGCCTTTGTTTAGCTTTTTTCCTAATTTTCTTTTCTCTTTCGGGTATCTCACTCAAGTGACCATCTTCTTGATGATCTTCAAAGTCTCTATCTAGCTGTTGGTCATCAGCCTCAGGTTCATTTTCTGCTAGCACTCGTTTAGCCTTTTTCCTAATTTTCTTTTCTCTTTCACGTATCTCACTCAGGTGGTCATCTTTTTTATGATCTTCAACACCTCTATCTAGTTGTTGGTCATCAGCCTCAGGTTCATTTTCTGCTAGCAATCGTTTAGCCTTTTTCCTAATTTTCTTTTCTCTTTCAGGTATCTCACTCGAGGGGCCATCTTCCTGACGATCTTCAACACCTCTATCTATTTGTTGGTTATCAACCTCTGGTTCACGTTCTGTTTGCATCCCTTCGCTGACTTTATTGCATTTACTTTGCAAGAAACCAGCACGTTCTTCAGGTGATGATTTGTCAGCCCTTTTTGATGGTGATTTCCCCATAGATGGTTGCACTAGTTTGTCACCAATAGTCACTTCATTATCCAGAAAGCGGGACAGAGCTTGCTTTTTAAGCATAGCATCTTCCCTTGCTTTAAGTGATTCTGCATTAGCTTGCCTATATAAACAGTATGGGCAATAAAAGTTTCCCCTGTCATCAAATTTAACTGGGCACCCCATGCACTCCTCATGAACAACTATAGGGCAGTTACTATCACTACAAACCAACACCTTGCCACCTCTATCACACTTTATGCAAAATCCTCCTTTCTCTGGCCAACCCATTTCCTTGTTATTTTCCCGATTACTAATCTCCGTGCACATCTCTCTCACCACTTGAACACAGAACTCACATCTACAGATTAAAATATATATATACATATATATTAGATTAACTGACTGGAGTCACATTGCAAATGAAATTACTTGCTCCAAACATCTAGCTTTACAATTATCATGACATAATTTACTGTAATCATTCAAACTTACGCTTATATGAAATTCCTTCTCAGTCACTCTCTTCACTAAAATAATAAACATGTATCCTCAAACACTGCATACTTTGAAATAACAGATTCCAATTACATTACGATCTACTAGGTTTCTTCTGTTGACTACACTAAACAAACATCCAATCCAGCCAAAATGCTACCTACCATGGCGTGTAGAATTCCGATAATGGAATAATAATACTAACAAAAGCCAAAGAAGGAAGCAATGTCTTCATTTCTAAATCTACAAAGCACATAAGCACTGAATACGAAAATTTATCAACAACTAAAGCACTGTTAATTCCTGAGTAACTCTTCTTATAAACTTACTCTATTCAATGCAGGGAATTTGAAACTAAATTCCGAAACTTCAATCGAAAAAAACACAAAAGTAAATGAGAAGTCAATAGTGCGACGGTGTGCGTCGTGTGACAGTTACCTGAAACGCTACATGAGAGAGTCGCGATACGAGTCTGAGGCCGGCGGCAACGGCGGCGAAGAGCTCGAATCGAGTTCCGAACAACTCGGCTGGAAATGGAAAAATGGTGAAGAAGTAGGGTTTCCGTATGAGATTCAGCTATGAATTCGAGTTAAATAAACTGTGAAAAGCTTGAGTAGAAAGATTCGGAAACTCCATACATACACTATTTAACACTTATGGCTGATTTTTCCCTGCGAGACCAGAGAATTTGGAGTTTGGGAGGTCTCTTCCGCTTGGGATTTTGCAAAAACTACCGGAAGTTCAGGTTCTCCCCAATTTTATTTTATTTTTGGGGAGCTTTTTAATTTTATTTTATTTTACTTTTGGGGAGTTTTTTCCAGTGTTTAGTAGTTTGACCTATGTTACCTGGACCTATTAATTCCTTCCATTTAGTTTTCTGATTTAACCTACATTTATGTGTATTAGGAGTCTAACTCGAATCAAACATTTAACTATATCGCTAAAAGCAAGTGAAACTATATGGCATCAACAAATTTGCAATTCATAAAAAAAAAAAAAATTACAATTCATTATTAACTTTTTTACATTCTTAGGCTGTCCTTATCCCTGCAAACATCTCCCACTCTCAAAAATAGGTCCCACTTCCACATCATCTTATTTGCAAATCATCTTCTATTCACATTACATCCCTACAAATCTAATCAACTCTCAAAAGTGGGCCCAACATATTAAAATAACATTATTAATAATATTAAAATATTAAAAAGAAAAAGAAAAACAATAAAAAAAAATTAAATAATACAAAAGCTGGCACGGCTGTTGCCGCGCCAGCTTTTGTCAGCAGTTTGCAAATTTGCTGCAGAAGCAAATTTGCAAACTGCCTTAATTATAAAAAAAATGAAAAATGCTGATGTGGCTTAACCACATCAGCTTGCAAAGCCAATATTGGCTGAGATAATCTCAGCCTTATAATTTTAATTTACTTTCAAAATATATTATTATTATAGTATTCAAATTTATTTTTTAAGAAAAGACAATTATTCATTAGTTCATATCAAGCTATAGTACATAAACAATAGAAAAAAATAGAATAGAAAAACAAGCCGCACAATCTGACTTAGATAGGACTTCCTTAGCTAATACATAAACAATCTTATTCGCAAACTGTTATTATTAAAAATACAAATTGTAAGGAAAAATCAATGAAAAAAAAACATAGAAAGTAATTGCATTTAGGTTGACCTCAACCTAGCAAGTGGTTCACTTGCTAGGTGAGGTGGCCAAAATAAAAATTATTATTTTATTGCTTAGTTTGCCACATAGGATAGCAAATTTGCTATCGTGTAGTACTTTTATTATTATTTTCTTTTTATAGTTGTAAGTTAATGTTTTAAATTGATGTGATATTGAGGTCTACTTTTAAAAGTTAATTGAATTTGCAGGAACGTACGGTGAATAGTAAATAAATTACAAATTAGATTATGTGAAAGTAAGATCCACTTTTTAAAGTGAGAAAATATCGAAGAAAGCTTTATAGTGACTTGGATTTTAAAAGAAATGAATTACTTATTATATTTAGAAAAAAAAAACAAACAAACAAACAAAAAAAACAAAAGAGTAGTGGTGCGGTGCCATATAGTATGCTGATATGCGCAGTGCAGCTGCGAGGCGTAACAATATCTGCTCGATCTATCAAACATTTAACTACAATATGCGCGTTTCAATACATGTCCAAAACAAGTGGAATGGACGAAGCTACACAAAACTTAAATGCAGAAAGATGAAGAAAACGCAGAATACATTGACCACCAGGCATTAAACACCACATTAAAACCGATACAAATGAAACATTTTTAGCATCCAGAGTATCAAGAAAAAGAATTATATCTTAGCTAGCAGGCCAGGCCAGGCCTTCAGCCCCAACCAGCTTCTAAGAATCTCTCATTTGGCAACGTAACCACAGCGTGAGAAAATGAGCACTAAAGCTTTCTCTCTCGCTGTCAAGAATCGGCTATCTAAATCCCCCCTCAGTCAATCTTCACCGAGGAGAAGAGGTAATGAACGAAGTAAAACGAAGTGAGAAGACCGATGGTGCCAGTAGCGAGCATGACTGCAACTGCCATTATGAGTGAATAGCCGAGATACAGTATAGCAGACACTGGCCCGCTCAGGCTCTGGAGGTCAAAGACTAAGTAATTAACGGAATACAAGAACACGTACAGAGAGACTGAACCCGAGGCATAGAATGCTTTCCACCACCACATCCAATCCTCGACGCAGAGATGCATGTAAGTGAGGACAAGTGAGACCTCGGCACAGATAATGACCAGGAGCAGGAGAACAATGAAGAGAAAACCAAACACATAGTAGAACCGTCCAAGCCAGATACTAGAGAGGATAAAGAAAAGTTCAATGAAGAGTGTTCCAAATGGGAGGGTTCCAGCTCCAAGGATAAGAAGCCATGATGGATATTTGCGCGATGGGATCTCCCTAGGAATTTGGTTAGTTCGCACTGGGTACTGTATAGCCTCAGCTCGTGTGCCAAGATGTCCTCCCAGGAGGGTGAGAGGCACCGAAATACAGAACCAGAGGGCTATGAGTTTGAAATACAAGGAAATGGGAATGGCACCCGTGCTGTTGCTCCCCCAAAGAATAAAATTCAGCGCTGTGAGAATAACAAAAACAATCCCCGGAAAGAAGCATGCAATTGCCCAAGAAACTGACTTCCATTCGTCTGGAGTCCCCTTGATAGTTCTCCATGCTCGCACACCAACGTAACCAGCTGCGATTCCCAAGAACAGGTAAAGCAATATCATTCCGGTTAGCAGCATACCCCGAGAAGCTGGTGACATGAAACCAAGAGCCGCAAAAAGAATAGTTACAGCCGTCATTCCAGTAATCTGAACCCCGTCTCCAATCATAACGCACAGTAGCTTCGAGTGATTTGGTTCTCTGAACACATCACCTACCACAAGCTTCCACCCCGAAAGTTCCTCATTCATCTGTGCCTGAGCTTCTTTGTCCAATTCCTCGTACCTTGTTAAATCCCTTCTCACGGTTCTCAAAAAGATTACAAAAACGATTCCAGCCAAGAAGAAGATCACCATCAATGAGTTAAGAATCGAGAACCAGTGAACACGATCACCTTCCATCTTGAGATAAGCATCCCATCGAGATGGCCATCTAATGTCGCTTTTCACAAACTCAACCTCATAAGTGAATGATACCCTCTCCTGCTCCCTTATAATCTGAGACCTCTCAATCTCCAATGGACAGTTTATAGACGTGCTGTTATCATACGTGTGAAGTTTTGTCATCTTTTCCGGGTCATATTTAACACTGCAAGGGACCACCTCAAAACCAACAATTTCATAACCGGCAGTCTTCTTCTTATCAGTTTCCGAAATAACACCCATACCTTCTTCCCCAGTACCAATTATCTCCACTCCAGCTCCCTCATACTCGTGAATCAGAACTGTAAATTTCAGGTGGTTAATGATGTAATCATCTTTACTATTTGGTGGTGTATAGCCAACCGGAAACCCAGTCCACTGTATCTTCATTCCATTTTGGGTGGCATATCTCAAAGCAGGCAAGTTATCCAGGATCATATTCACCTGATAAAGCTCATGGGTCCTCTGTTTCAAGAGCTTTACCTCATTCTCATTTAGTCCGGGGGTAGTGCAGAGGTAAAGTGATTCATTAACATTCATCCTGAAACGGTAGGGAGAGGTATCAATCTGATCTCCCATTAACAGTTCTCCAAGATTCTCGGCACTTTTCTTGATGCCACTCTGAGGTTTGCAGTAAGGAAGACTATAATAGCTGAATGGGAGCTCAGTCTCAATTGAGGTTAACGAGTTCACTTTGACAACAATTTCATCACCAGTGGAGTATGTATGCATATAGGTACCCGGCAAATAAAACCCATTACAAGCATGTGAAATGAGAACGAAATATAAGAATGCAGCCAAGTATCTCCTTCCCGAGATTGATGACAATGCCATTGCTAGACAAGATGGAGGAGACAGGCCCTCTAAGCCACTAGTAGTAACACAGAAATCATCAATCTACAAAATTCACCATCAAATATTCAAAGTTGTTGTCAATAATATGTTTCCACTACATTAAGCAAAACCAAAAAGGGAAGAAATATAATAAATAAATAAGGAAAAGGAAGTGGAAAATGAACCCCACAAAATCATATGCAATCAGCTCTCAACAACTAAAAGTATAATGCAATTGACCATTCACTAACCTAAAGATGGAAATTCATAAACACAATAAGGAGTATACAATTGCAGAACAAGCATCTTCGTCTCGATTTACATGGACAACACATGGTATATACGTACAAGAGCACAAATCAGGCATTCAAAAAGCATATATACATGCATTTTTATATAGAAGCACCAAACAAAACTCAGGCTACATGGCTACAGTGCCCCGCACAGCATAAAAATACATGTGCCAGTAAACGCAATATCACTATGTCAGAAACGAACACACAACAGCACCGAACATACACGAAACTGAAGACACCATATCATATGCATATCTGCAGTGGTAGTAGCTAAACTGAATCCAGAAACATTAAACAGAAAAACAACTCATCAACGCAATGCTAGTAGACAGAACATGCAAATCCAGACTCTCCAAACCTATTACAAAAAAACAACTGCATTTCCAAAATTACGAATTAACATGGATCTAAAATTCACCACAAGACGCCGACACCGCCACACAATGCCATTCCCGGACTTGTTGCTGCTAACAAATTAGGTGTATAATCGAGATAGATCTACGGAAATGCGTACCGGAGCTGGATCTGGAAATGAAGAGCGAGCTCAGAGCGAATCAGCTCGGCGAAACTTGTCGGTGAGATCGGGCTGGTTAGCCTTTGATGATTGAGAATGGTTGGGAGAGGAAGGAGTAGTGAAAGAGCGCGTGAACTGTGAAAAATGAAGATGGCAAATTGGCAAGGAATAAAACTAGAAGGCGTTAGGTACTGTTTGGGGATAGGCGCTATATGGCGTGATATTATATTTGTTTCAATATAATTGGAAAATTTTAAGTTACTGGGCCAACTGCTGCATTTTCCCAATTTGGACCGGACATGCGCTTTATTATGGGCTCAATTTATATCCTAAATTAAAACACAAGGTTATAGATTCGACTTTTAATTTGAGTGATTTATTAATTTTTTAATTTGAGTTAAAATTAATTTTTCTCTTTTTAATTTTTTACCGACTAAAGTTGTAATACGGATTTTACTTAGGACATACTCATGCAGAGCGAATGCAAGTTTTCCTCGTCATCAATACATACATACACATGCATACACATATCGGTATTGGATCAAATGATAACAAGTTTTTATGATATAAATAAGAACCAATCTCAACTTTACATGTGAAAAATCATACGGATCATATCAAATTAAAAAAAATGCAGTAACATTTTCGTAATTATCACTAACTTTACTATGTAAACTTAAACATTAAAATATTCAATTCTCAGACTTTTTCAGATTTGCATATTTAGTATTAACATTTTGCATATTTAGTATTAAAAATTTACACTTGTAAAAATGCAAAAGTGCATTGCACTTAGGGAGTGTTTGGGTCAAGTTATATAATATAATAAGGTTATATTTATTTTGAAATATAATATTCTCATGTTTGGTTCAGGTTGTAATTTTCTTAGGAAATGTCACATGACCTCCACATAAAGTTTTTAGCTATTGGAAGGGAATGTGAGATACTCTACAATTTCTTAGGTATTTTCACATTTTCTTGTCTTATTATTAATTTTAGGATTTTGGCATTTTAATCAATTTGTCTTATTACCGTCGTCTTAATTACACACCTTAGTTTTAAACCAAACACAATAATATAACATTCATAGTAATCTAACATTTTAATCAATTTGTCTTATGATTGAGTTTTTTGTTTTATTTGGTTTATTGGTTCACTTCTTACTACTTACGGTCTAGCATTTACGGTTTAGATTTAAACTTTAACTTTTTCGTTGATTTTATAAATTTTACCAGGTTTGCATATTTAGTTGTTAAATGTTGCATATTTAAGCCTCAGTTTGCATAGTGAAGTTGATGCTAATTACGAAAACGTCAACGCATTTATTTTTTAAAAATCAGATCATATTCGTCAAATTTTTACAGATGTAAGACTGATATTTGTTCTTATTTCTTTCATACGGTACTGTCCTCACATGACTCTTACCCTATATATATAGACGCGCAGAGAGAGAGAGAGAGAGAGAGAGAGAGAGAGAGAGAGAGAGAGAGAGAGAGAGAGAGAGAGAGAGAGAGCAAAGCGAAACTTAAGAACAAATGTTGGTGGAGTATGACTTTCATATTAAAACATCACAATTTGATTATTGTCAACACCCATTCGGTCGAGTCTCATCGCACAGGACATACATGGTGCGGTTTACCTCTCATAGTTTGTAGACTATTACATAAGAAACTCTAGTGCGATTTTACCTCTCTTAGTTTTTGAGCTATTACATAGGAGTAGTACACGTCTAGTGCAATTTTATCTCTCTTGGTTTGTGAGCTACTACATAAATGGGAGTAGTACTCACCATCATGTAGTTGTTGCAGTTTTTTTCGTCACCCTAAATAGTGAACAATTATATTTTTTCATACTTGCCTACTATCTTAATACATGTTTATTTTTAGTATATTGCAATAGTACAAGTTTATTTTTAAATTATCACTCTTTGTTATATTTCTATGCATGTTGATCTGTAGTTTATAAAATGTTCGATTTTAGTATATTGTAAGTCAAAATAAACATGCAATACATTATAAATAACACATGTAATAAATTAGAAATAAAATTGTATAAATGATCCATATTGTTATGTGAACTCTAGTCTATAATTTAACAATTGCGTTTTGAATCCACTAGACCCTTTAGCCTCCATTCAACCATTGAAACTCTGGTAGATTAGTTATAGTGTATGTACTCCCAAATTTTATTCTTTTATTTTTACTCTGATATACCAGATAATGATAAATTATTCTTATTATGTGAGTACCAAAAAAAAATTATATTAAGAATTTAAAAGTGAGTAGAATTTGTAAGTGCATATAATAATTTCTTTTTGGTACAATATATGACATGACATTATGACAAAATCTTTGCCCACAAGTATTGACAGTCTTCTGTATCTGTCCCATCTCTTGGGCCTTTTTGCCTAATGAAGTCTTTCTCAAGCAGTGAAGCACAATCTTCTTATGCATCGCTTTCCCTCTAATTATCCCATCACTCTTTCAGCGAACACTTCGGTGACATCAACTAAACTCGGAGAGATAAACCTGGTTACAATCTTCAAAGGTAACACCTTTCCAATTTCCAGGGCACAGAACTGCACTTATTCACCCTGGGTTTCTCTAATATGTAATAAATTCACAACCTTTTTTACTTGATTCTTTAGCGAGTTTCACATTTCGGCGCAGTTTTGGATTGTTCATCTCTGTACACGACTCCATCATAATTGAATTGGTGAGGAGTTTATAGAGAGGGGAAGTGATACTTAGGAATTCGAATTTTGTTGAATTTCTGTATCTTAGGGTAGTTCTGCTGTTGGGATTTGGGAGTGCTTAATGAGATAATTATTGTGTAAACCAATGGCTAGTATTACATCTCCAGTAAATTTGGGAAGCATATGCAGCTGTCATAGGGGACAAATTGAAGGGTCATATACAGTGGTTAGAAGGGTTTCTTTTGGTAAAGATTTTAGAAGTTTTCATAGGATTAGGATTGGTAGGAGATGGAGATACATGTCTGTTTGTAGATACTCAGTTATTACTGATTATATTGCTGATCAGGGGACTTCAACATCCCTTGATTTTTCGCGAGGAAGTAGTAAGGATGCTGCTGTTGATGATCCTTTATTAAAGTCTATTATTCCTAAACCTCAGCTAAAGTATGGGCTGAAAGCTGGTCCTCCTTTAAGCACGAGTTCTTTAACTTGGAATGGGGCAAAAACCGGCCAGTTTTCAGATGGTGACAAGGGAGGCAATAATGGGGAAGATAAAAATGAGGTGATTGAGTCCCTTGGAGAGGCAGAGAAGCTAGAAACTAATAATAAGGTACCTATTAAGAAACTACCAGCCAGCAGAACTGCTGGAGAGAAAAATGGTAAACCGGTTTACTCGGTGGCTGGTCCGAGTAGGAAGTCTAAAACAATGAAGAGTGTCTGGGTGAAGGGGAATCCAGCAGGTGTTGTGAAAAAAGTTGTTAAGAAACCTCTTAAACAAGAACAAAAAATTGACACAAGGGGGAAGGCTGAGATTGAACCTGTTTCCCCTCTTAGGCCTCACCAGTTGCCTCAAAAAGTCCAACCAAAGGTACAAGCAAAGCAGCCTGTAGCTCCTCCATCTGTAATAAAGAAACCAGTTATCTTGAATGGTGTGGGTGCAGTAGCCAAGTCCCCAACTGCTGATGCGGTTGAATTAGCTGCAAAGAACAAAGAACACAAACCAATTTTGATTGATAAGTTTGCCACTAAAAAGCCTGCACCCAGTCCTCCTATTACTCGAATGGTTTTAACCCCTCCAAAACCCAGGAAGAGCCCTCCATTTGGGAAGTCCAAGGAGGAGTTTCATAAAAAGAGCGGTGCATCAGGAGGACCGCGTAGGCGTGCAGTTAATGATGACTATGATGAGATTCCTGATGAAGAGGTGTCAGAACTTGATGTTTCCATACCCTCTGTTGCTAAAGCACGGAAAGGCAGAAAGTGGACCAAGGCAAGTCGCAAGGCAGTGAGATTGCAAGCAGCCAAAGAGGCTGCTCCTGTCAAAGTAGAAATTTTGGAGGTTAATGAAGCAGGTATGTCGACAGAGGAGTTGGCATACAATTTAGCCATGAGTGAAGGCCAAATTCTTGGTTACTTGTACACAAAGGGAATCAAACCTGATGGTGTTCAAACAATTAGCAAAGACATGGTGAAGATGATATGCAAAGAGTATGAAGTGGAAGTTATTGATGCTGATCCTGTTCGGGTAGAAGAAATGGCCAAAAAGAAGGAAATTTTAGATGATGATGATGTAGGCAAACTAGAAGATAGACCACCTGTTGTCACAATAATGGGCCATGTAGATCATGGAAAGGTAAATCATCAAAGCTCATAATCTCAATCTTATGAATAATGAAATTATTATGTTAACATCGATGAGGAGGATCTAGCTAATTTATGTTCCTGATTTTTTGCTTGACAGACAACTCTTTTGGATTACATTCGAAAGAGCAAGGTATATGTGCACTTCTGCCCCGTTTTAATGCTTAGAAATCATGGTTTATTCATGACATGGTTATTCCTTTGGGGAAGCATGTTCTGACTACAAAGGTTGTGATTCATCATTTCTTCTAGTGTAGTTGCGAACTGAACCCTAACTGGTAGATATTTAGGTGGCAGCATCTGAAGCCGGTGGGATTACTCAAGGAATTGGTGCATATAAGGTGAAGGTACCTATAGATGGCAAGCTCCAGACATGTGTCTTCCTCGATACTCCTGGACATGAGGTATGCTTTGCATTAATTTTGTTTCTGCATCCATATCTTTAACCCTGATTTGCACTCACTATGGAACAGACATAGAAGATTAGAGGGTAGTAGTTGACCTTTCCAAAGTGATTACTGATTATTACTCTGTATGACAGTTTGACAATTGATTTTTGTAGGCCTTTGGAGCAATGAGAGCTCGTGGAGCTAGAGTCACCGACATTGCTATCGTTGTGGTAGCTGCTGATGATGGGATACGGCCTCAGACAAATGAGGCCATTGCTCACGCCAAGGCAGCTGGAGTTCCGATTGTGATTGCCATAAATAAGGTTTTCTGGAGATAAGGGCATTTGATGTCATATTTTCGTTTCTTATTTTCAGGAGTCAGGACTGATGAGTTCCGTTTATTTTTCTTCTGCTATTTCAGATTGATAAGGATGGAGCTAATCCAGAGCGAGTCATGCAAGATCTTTCCTCGATAGGTTTGGTTCCTGTAGACTGGGGTGGTGACATCCCAATGGTTAAGGTAGTGAAACATATGCACATAGTGGGGTGGTGTTATTCACATCATTTCTTATAGTCATGTATTTATATATTTTATCAGGTCAGTGCTCTCAAAGGAGAGAATATAGATGATTTGCTGGAAACTGCCATGCTTGTAGCTGAGGTTAGTAAATTGAATTCATGATCTTCTTGGTTATTTTGAACTAATATATAAGCATCATACACTTCACACCTCAGGTATTGTCGTGCGCAAAAATGTCATCTTTGTGTTTATGCAAGAAAAATACTGTTTTTCTGTATTGGATTGGTATAACTAGGAAATTCTCTTCCCTCCACCCTTACTACCACCCCCAACCATTTCTTGAATGTCTATGACTTGTAATATTGAATGGTTAAAATTTTGATTTTTGAATACTGTCCTAAATTTGTTTAACTACCTCCTCCTCTCTCTCGCTCTCTCTCTCTCTCACGCACACACATTAATCTATGTGCTTTGTATTTTAACTTATTGATTTGTTTTTTACTCGCAGCTTCAAGAGTTGAAGGCTAATCCTCACAGAAATGCCAAGGGAACGGTGATTGAAGCCAGTCTTGATAAATCAAAAGGACCCATAGCTACATTCATTGTACAGAATGGGACATTAAAAAGGCAAGATGTAGTGGTTTGTGGTGAGGCTTTTGGAAAGGTTAGTGAACAAAGGAGTTGACATTTTGGTTACTCTTCATTCCTGAGAGCTAATAACTTGGTTCATTGATATCATTATATCAACTTAATGCCTGATTTGAAAAAAATTCCCCTGCTTGTTTATTTTTAGATTCGTGCTTTATTTGACGACAATGAGAAACGTGTTGATGAAGCTGGACCTTCCATACCTGTACAGGTATGCAATTCCCATTTCTCTACTTCCCGTTTAAAGAGTCGCCAGTATATTACTTTTTTCTGATATTTAACTTAGTTTTAGTAAGGTTGATGTAAGCATTGGATTCTTTATCTGAAACATGCATTGCATGATTCAACAGGTAATTGGGTTGAATACTGTTCCAATTGCTGGTGATGAATTCGAGGTGGTTGGCTCCCTTGATATTGCTCGTAAAAAGGCCGAGGAACGGGCAGAATCCTTGAGAAATGAACGTATATCATCTAAGGCCGGAGAAGGGAAAGTTACACTATCTTCATTTGCTTCTGCTGTTTCATCAGGAAAGCTTACTGGGCTAGACTTGCACCAACTGAATATTATTCTCAAAGTTGATTTCCAGGTATTCATGTTAATTTCAATTTGGATATTGAAAACCATGCAAATAAGTAAATGAATAAACATTAGGGATATCAGAAAGCTGTTCGTTATCAATTTTATATTTTGCACACAAACTAAAATTTCCTAGATTTGGGGTTTCTCTTGGGTGTTTATTGTTATTTGGTGCTAAAGTGAAACCATACAACTATGGTTAGGGATCAATCGAGGCTGTCAGACAAGCACTCCAGGTGCTACCCCAGGATAATGTTACACTGAAGTTCCTATTGCAATCCACGGGAGATGTGAACACCAGTGATATCGATCTTGCTCATGCAAGTAAAGCAATTATTTTTGGATTTAATGTGAAGGCGCCGGGCTCTGTCAAAAGCTATGCAGACAACAAATGTGTCGAGATCCGATTGTACAGAGTCATATATGAACTCATAGATGATGTGCGAAATGCGATGGAAGGACTCCTGGAACCTGTTGAGGTACGCCATATTTCTGTGCTGTCCTGTTATTATTTTTTTTTTTTCTAGTACTATTGAGTATTGACCCTGTTACATGTAATATCTATTCATATATACTTTCTCAACCTACTGAAGCCCAACGGGTCTATTGAAGCCCAACGAGTCAATACTATTGAGTATTGACCCTGTTACATGTAATATCTGTTCATATATACTTTCTCAACCTACTGAAGCCCAACGAGTCAATACTGCCTCCACTGAGGCTCGAACCCATGACCTCTCACTTGGGAGAGTCACTTCATGCCGCTTGACCACAAGGTCTTTGGCCCTGTCTTGGATGAAGGGTGCCTGCTGGTGGTGAAGCCCAATATCACATTTTCCCGTGCTTGGAGCTGATTGGTCTTTTTAGTATTTTTAAAGAATTAAAAATTTCTGCCATAAAAAGTATGAACTTGCCGTAGTTCTTAGTTCAGCTAAGCTATCAATGTTGAGTTGTCATATATCTGCCTTTGATTTTTGCAGGAACAAGTGGCAATTGGTTCAGCTGAAGTGCGGGCAGTGTTCAGCAGTGGTAGTGGGCGTGTTGCTGGGTGCATGGTAACCGAGGGAAAAGTAGTGAAAGAACATGGAGTTCGGGTCGTTAGGAAAGGTAAAGAAGTCCATGTTGGTGTCCTTGATTCACTACGACGAGTTAAGGAGATAGTGAAAGAGGTATACTCTCGATATTCATATTTCATGAAAGCGTTCTACTTCTAGATGACAGCAAACAATACTCAATAGTGTTATTTATTGCATGACAAATGGGGAAAGAGAAGTCATATGTTAACAACCCAACAGGTAGCTCAAGTGACAAATGAGCTCTCTTTGTGGGGGAGAATTCCGGGATAACCCGGGTTTGATTCCCACAAGTGACGATTCCCCTTGGGCCAGCTCCCGAGGATTAGTCGGGTGGACATGAACCTTTAAACGGACAGAGAAAGACTCAGACCACCTCGTGGCTTACACCAAAAAGAAAAAAAGAATTCATATGTTAACTTTTGTTGTTGAACAGGTAACTGCTGGATTAGAGTGTGGAATTGGCATTAAGGATTTTGATGAGTTTGAGGTTGGAGATACCCTTCAAGCCTTCAATACAACACAAAAGAGAAGAACACTTGAGGAAGCATCTGCCTCCATTGCCGCAGCACTTGAAAAAGTGGGGATAGATCTATGAAAGGAATCAAGGCTGGCTAAATATCACAACTTTCAGATGGATAACTAGTTGAGTTGGCTTTTATCAATACCAACCGATCTCAGATACCGGTCCAACAATTTTGTCATAAACTTCACAAAATACTTTGAAATGGAGCAAAGCTGGTTTTTGTCAACACCTACCAATCTTGCATACTGCTCCTACAATTGCACAGAAAATTACAATGTTTAGTATATATACTGGTGACCTTTACAAGGGTTGCCCCATTGGCCATTGTTGTATATTAAAAAATATTTTTAAATTCGATAACCGACAAGTCAAGTCAGCATATTACGGGTAAACAAGTCATGCTTCATTGTATCGGCAATTTATATCGTCCCCAGGGCGCCCATTGCATTGTGCGTCTTGATGCAAAACGACGTCATTTTACATAATTGTATAAACAATACACATAATGGTATAAACAAATACATATAATCACGTCAACTCCCTTTCGCGTCTCTCAAAATGATATTGTGGTGCAGGGTATAATGACACGCGCCGTGGTGCAGGGTATAACGACTGCAAACCTTGGAGAATTTATTCATCAAATAAAATTAAAAGACATTGTCTAAGATGAAGTATATGGCAAAAAACCCACAGGGATGCATAGGCAACTTGCATATATCAAATTTTCTCCATCTCTCTTTTCTAAAGTTATAAAATAAAATAGAAACAGATGTCTTCTGTTTCACTAGCAGAACAATCTCCCCAACATGATTGGTAGCGACGGACAAATCTCTAAAGTAATCAATCTCTAGCCATGGAATGGGAATGAAAATCGAATACTTATTCTTCCATACCATAGATTCCTCAAGAATCCATATTGTCATACAGTAGTAGTTGTCACGGTTGTCATTACTCATAAGAACAATAGCTAATCGACCATCCACCTCTACCAGTCCAGATCGACCACTATTCATGCCTTCCTGCCACTCTACCACTCCAGGGAGAGTAGTTGGGGGAGGAGGTATAGCTTGGAAATTCTCAGCCCTAACATCAAATGCTACTATTTAGCCTTTATTCTGTTGGGTACTAAGGTTGTGAGTAGCAATGGCGTGTTGGAGTGGTGAGAATGTGCAGAAACAAATCAGACCGTTTAGGGAAGAGCTTATATAAAACTTTGGATAGAGATTAGGGTCGTCGTCGATATACCGAAGAGGATTGGCATGGAGAATTCCTTGGTTTTCTTCAGAATAATTTATTGTGTAATGCAAATTGCGTCTGATGTCATCTGGCCAAGAGAGTAGAATGCTCATCCTACTGGGAAGGGTTAAGGAGCAGTTGCGGTGAAGATCGGCAAAGGGATGATCAACAAGCAGAGAAGAAAAGAATTTAGAAACACACTTGAATCGCATCAGAGATTTGGCAGGGAGTTTACTCAGAATTTCGACGAGGATCTCTTGTGGAAGAAAAGCTAAAGCTGAAGAACTCAACGCCATCTTTGAAGAACTCATCGCTCCAACGTCTCTTCAAAGCTAAAGCTAATAATTGTGATTTGTGAGGTTGGGGTGTGGGAGGCTTCAGGGTTAGGGTATCCTCAATATTTGAGAATTTTATCTCAGGGGTAAAGAGTCAATATTTACAAATTTAATTTCTCTTCCAACTCCTATGGTTTTGGAATTGATTGCAATATCGATTAATTTACTTCTCTGATTTTGGTTAAAATGCTTCATCTTGTATTATTATAAATACTGGTTCAAATACAGACATATATTCTCGTGTGATTGTGCAGATTATACTATTAAATATGCATAAATGCACTAAAACGTATTCAGAAATGCAAGAGGGTTAAAATGTCCCACAATCCTAAAACGTGCTGTCATACACCATTAAGTATGCAACTACGTGTTCAGAAATACATCAGAGTAAAATACACAAATGCACCCTGGTACATTTCTCAACACGTTATGGATTTGTACTGTGGTATATTCTTGCATACCTAATAATAACATGATCGCACGTCTACACGAGCACCAAACACATAAATACTATTTTTTCATTAGAGTTCCAGTTTTCTACAAACATAATTCTTCCGTGAAGCATAACATATATATAAAACGTATAGTTACACTATCAGTTCTAGACAATTCTTTACATTCAAGTCTCTTTATGCTTGGTATATATATCTCTCCTCATACTCTCTGATTAACAGAATAACAGATGTATATGTTCAGCTGTGTTAATGCTTTAGACCCTTGATTTCAAAATGGGTACTCAAATCTACTCAACTTGGCAGATCATAATGGGGAACTCCTTAACCTGAAACAAAGAAAACATTCATATAGGCATCTAAATTGGTCGGATTGTTGGCTCAATGGTTACAAATTTCTAAGTTCAACTCTAAGTGGGAGCAATCTATTGACTTTTTGATTTGAGTCGTCAGTTATCTGATCCTTTGCCGGCTAAAGACACAATGCGAGACTTACCCAGTGTACACACTCAAGTAGTGATTGCGGGTTTCTCTGATCATCCGATCCAAAAAAAGAAAGAAAAGAAAGATTACAAAGAAGAGATGCTTGGGGGGCTTGGATAACTTGCAGAACAAAGAATAATTATGAATAAGAAAATGACTGCCATTTCCACATGAGCCAAACTGTCATTAGGACACAGTTTAGAAGAGTCAAAACTAATATATTTGTCCAAAGTCTACAAGTTCTTTTGTGTCTTGTATGCATACCTATTCTATTCCTACAATTATGAAAGCCTGAAAAAAGACTTTTTTCCACTTTCTGGTTCTCCATTTTTCTTGAACACGAAATTTAATTTTCCTTTTTTGATTTCCATTTGTTGAAAAGCCACTAACGAACTCAACTAACAAAATGCATATTTGCCAAGTAAGAAATGAATGGGCTTGAGTGCACCTGGAGGAGAGGATCCATTTATAATTGCAATTTCATTCACATAACATCCACCACAAAGATTAGCCATCCAGTAGTGTAGTAAAAGGTTGTTCTACTAATACAAGAGAATACATGCTTTTCTAAATATGGGAAGTGCCCTTTCTAAAGATACAAAAAAAATAATAAAATATAATAATAATAATAATAATAAAATCAATAAAGCATTTACATATTACAAAAGCTTTTCAAAAAGCTGCAAAGAAGGGGGCAGCAGGGACAACAAAAATGTTAATAAAGAACTAAATATATACATACAGCACCGAACTAAAATACACACCAAAAAAATGTATTAATCAAATAAATAAATAAATCATTTCAATAATAATAAATTATTAGTTGCTTGGAGAATACATTCATCAAGTAAAATTAAAAGATATTGTCTAAAATGAAGTATATTATCAAATAAAATTAAAACACATTGTCTAAGACGAAGTACATTGCAGCATACTGAAAGAGCCAAGGCAACCATATATCAAATTTTCTCCAATTATTTCTTCTAAAATTATAAAATAAAATAGAAATCGAGCTCATCTGTTTCACTAGCACAGTAATCTCTCCAACATGATTGGTAGCAATGCACAAAACACTCTTATTAGATTCATCAATCTTTTCCAATGGTATGGGAATAAAAATCAAATATTGATTCTTCCATACCATAGATTCCTCAAGAATCCATATTGCCATACCATGGCATCCGGGGTGATCATCCTCGTCATTAAGAAGATCAACAATAGCTAATCGACCCTCCACCTCCACCAATCCAGATCGACCACTATGGCCCTGCTCCCCTTCCCCTACCAATCCAGGTATAGTAGAGGGTGGAGGTGGAGGTATAGCTTGGAAACTCTCATATCTAACATCAAATGCTACTATTTCACCTCTATTAAAGGAATTAACGAAATAGATAACACCATCGATATGAACATTAGTATGTGGATAGAAATGATTATTAAAAAAAGTGTAAGGATAGTAGGAGGGAGAAGAACGAATCTCCCTCCATGATTCATCCACACCCAGTGTAAAAACATAATGCTTTACCCAGCGGCGCAACCTGTAGGGGGGGCGCTTGGTGTAGTATACTACTGACTTCAACACCTTGTATCTCCTCGAGATTGAATCAAAACCTAAGAGCCCAAAAGCCTTCATCCTGATAATGCTCCCGGAGCCAGAAACTGATGGAAGAGAGATATGGTGTCGAGTACTAAGGTTGTGAATAGCAATGGCATCACTGAGCCGTGAGTATGTGCAGAAACAAATCAGGCCGTTCACGGAAGAACTTATATAAACCTTTTTATAGAGATTAGGGTCATCAGTGATATACCGGAGACGATTGGCATAGAACATTCCTTGGTTTTCTTCAGAATAATTTATTGTGTAAAACAAATGGAATCCGCTGATGGGGTCGTCTATGGCGATCGGCAGAGAGATTAGAATCCTTATCCTACTGGGAAGGGTTAAGGACCAGTTGCGGTGTAGATCGGCAAAGGAATGATCAATAATTAGAGAACAAACATATTTAGAAACACACTTGAATCGCAGCAGAGATTTGGCAGGGAGTTTACTGAGAATTTGGACGATGATCTCTTCTGGAAGAAAAGCTAAAGCTGATGCACTCAACGCCATCTTTGAAGAACTCATCGCTCCAACGTCTCTTCAAAGCTAAAGTTAATTATGATGTGGATTTAACCTTTGGATTAATATTTGATAGACACGTATTTTATTAGGATTAGGAAACTTTTTATTTTTAATTCACAAAATATATCTACTTTTCTAAAATATTTATTATTCCGTATATTACCTTGAATTATGCTGACTTCTCTTATAAAGTACATAGGCATGTTTGACTATTTTTTTTTTTAAAAAATGTGATTGTAGACAGTAATTAGGCATCCTCATCACAGCCACAAAATCCTGATGAATCATATTTAGGTTTTTTCAACTTAATTTCAGCAGAAGTTTGAGCTTATTATAAACCTTTGAGATGGCATGATTTAAGATCACCTAATTAATCTGGTACTAATTTTATAAACCTTACTATGGTTTTGGAATTAATTGCAATAGTTGTATTGATATCAAGTACACTCAGTATGAAAATCCCCTTATTAGAAGAGAAATAAGGATTATGCAGTTTAGAATCTAGATCAACTATCTTTGTGAGTTGTAGCTAAATTTCTCCAATAACATGCTAATAATGCTAATAAATGTCGCGAATCAAATAATATAACAATATATAAACATAAATATTTCATAATCTCAAAAACCTAGGTACACAAGGATTCTCCTTTATGCATAATCCTAATAGCATAAATAAAAGATAGATAAAGAAAAGATAATCTTAGTTGTTAAATTAGAAGGATAATCAAATCTAAGGAAGATTTTAGAAAAAAATATGGTTAAAA